TAGGGTGGGGCCAATGGATTTCATGAATCTCGTGTATACAGGTGTACGCCACAAATTATAATGACCAGTGTGTCTTGTTTGGTTAACTTTCTGTATTATGATATGTAGGACTTTTGGTATCTGCAAAGCGCCTGTCCTTTCTATGTTATGTCTATCTTCTCTTAGAACGCTGATTGGCCGTCAAAATTCAAAATGGTCAAGTCTAAAAAGGCGGTTTCTCTCCAATTGAAGAAATTGCCGCGTAAAAAATGATGACGGGATTAAGTAGATCTGGATTCCGAGATCATCTACGGTTGAAGTTGAGGAAACGGCTCTGCAATGATGGTTAGCTTGAGTTCGACCGTTTTGTATGACGGTATTACTTACTCCGAGAAGGATCAGAATGATGTTCGATCCTACGAATGCCAGGAAAATTCCCAGGTCTCTCCAGCGGTTGTTGTAGTTGAAGCCGAGGGGTTCGTAGAACTGGTTACCAAGCTTGTAGGCGCAGTACTCACAAGCACTAGTGGCGTTGTCGCGGATATAACCGATACCACCAGCAGAGAAGAAAGCATCCATGTATTCACCACATGTCTGGCCATCAGGGGCAGTGAAGGCATTATACTCGCTTTCGGCACAGGTAACAGGAAGCTCATAGAGAGCCGTCGTAACCATACCACCAATGAGACGTGTAAAGGGGTCAAGTTGGTACAACCAGACACGCCATCCCTCGGGCATTTGCGGTGCGGGAATGGTAACACCACAGAAGAGAGCAAACGTGATGATGACGAATGGATCGAACTGACTCGAGATGAAAGCCGAGGGTGTCATGGTTGCGAGAAGCTGGCCCAGAGTAACCGAGAAAAGCTCCGTGATGAGAATCATGAAAAACTGGTAGCCGGCACGCGTACTTTCGGTCTGGAATCCTGGAAGGTAGTACAGTGGGATGAAGAACAGAACCGCGCACAGGATAGAGTAGGGCATCTCGCCCAGAATCATTGAGACTGCAAAAGTAAAGGTGCTGTACATCTTGGATGACTGTTCACGGAAGAAGATGGCACGTTTCATGTGAAACAGAACTTCGACCTGTGTGATGACCAGGGCAGGCAAGACGGTGACTTGGAACATGACGAAAACCTTGTACTGCAAGGACGATCGAGAATCGTCGAGCTTGAGGTAAGCAAGACCAGTAATCAGGGCGATGACAAAGTGGTTAAAGACACGAGTGAATCCATAATTGGGGGTGCGCCAGAAGGACAAGTTCGTTCTGTGGATGACGACCTTGAGCTGGTGCGAGAGGCTTGAGGCAAACTCTCGCTGCAGAGCTGGATCGACATCGACCTGGCCGGCACGAGACTCCTTGAGCTGCGAAATGGTATCCTTGACGTTTGCAAGCTCGGGACTGTCACGCCAGATGTCCGCCCAGTCCTTGTCACCGATACGCGGAGCACTTCCAGCACCAACAGCGTCGAGCATAAACTCGGCAACATTGTCTGTCTCGCCAGCAACGGCACCATGGCGCTTCAGATAGTCTCGGAGGACGACAGCATCCTTACCGATGTCTCCAAAGTAGACGGTCTGGCCACCGCGTTGCAGAAGCAAAAGTCGATCAAAGTTCTCAAACAGGGCAGCGTTGGGCTGGTGAATGGTGCAGAGGATGGCCTGTCCTGCAGAAGCAAGCTTCTTGAGGAAACGGACAATGTTGAAAGCACTCTGTGAGTCAAGACCAGACGTAGGTTCATCCAAGAATAAGAGGAGTTGGGGCTTGGCAGCCAATTCGACACCAATAGTCACTCGCTTTCGCTGTTCGACAGTGAGACCGGCTTCGGGGAATCCGATAATCGCATCAGCAATGTGCTCCATCTCAAGCAGAGAGATGATCTCTTCCACGTATGCGTACTTTTCCTCCTGAGGTGTTTCCATGGGCTGTCGAAGATCGGCAGAGAAGCGGAGTGCTTCGCGCACAGTCTGTGTAGGATCATGCATATCAAGCTGTTCGGCATACGAGGTGGATCGCTGAAACTCCTTGCCAGGCTTCGCACCGTCGACCAAAATGTCACCATGAATGACACCAATGTTCTTGCGTCCTGCCAATACATCCAAGAGAGTAGTCTTGCCAGCGCCTGAGGAACCCATCAAAGCAGTCAGTTCACCGGGCTTGACGTAACCAAAGACGTTATCTAGAAGGCGGCGCGTGCCACCGGGAACGGGTACATCATAGTTGAGGTTCTCCCAAGTCAAGACGCTCTTCGAATCGATGGACAGCGCGGATTCGTCTTCAGCTGTTCTAGACTTCTGACGTTGAAGCCTCTTGTTGGCAAGCGCTTCATTGAGCTTCTTTCTCTCCTGGTCCGGCTTCGAGAAGACCTTGAATGTGTTGCCACCTTCGCCAAAAGTCATGTATTCGCCTAGCACCACATTCATGATGAGGAAGAATACAATGAGAGCCATAATGATACCAAAGTTTCTCCAGAGGTCAGACGGGAGGTAGGAGAAGCCTTGGGTGATGTACGCAGCACCGCTAATCTGCTTGGTACCGGGGACTGACCCGGCAAGGGTGCAGACTTGATGGTTGATATCGCCGTACCCGGGGCCGGAAGGTATCAAAGAGTCGGATGTACACTCGAGCTCGCTGGATTTGAATTCATTGGCCATGAGACTAGCAAAAGCCAGACCAAGTGCGTTGACGTAGTAAATCCATCTCAACCAGACCTGTTCGGACTGGTATTGAATCAAGTAGCCAGACGTAATGATGAACAATGTGATGATGACAACAGCAGACTTGATAGCATAGTCAAAGTCGGGACTGAGACAACCAATGATACGGAAGAACAGTGTCATTGCAATGTTTCCAACCATGATGAGCAAGTAGAATGTGAAGAATGCCCCCGCAGTTCGATTCAGGTTGGACATGAAGTAGACTATTATACTGAAGACCAAGACTCGCGCTGCTGTAAATGCCGTATCAACAAAGATTTGGGCAATCCACAGGGCAGATGGTGTGTGAAAGGTGTAGGCTTTGTGCTTGTTTACAATCGAGCGACCTGTCATGACACCAGCCAGCTCGGAGAAAGCTTCAAAGGCGTTGAAGAGGAGCGCAACAAACAGAAGACCACCCTTATTGAAGGCACTGGCAGAGGTTTGTTGAAGATTGAGGTAAAGAGTGCCGAGAACGACTGCAATGAGGACACTGCGGAACCATGCGAGGATGAGTGCAAGGCGATCCTGTAGCTTGAGAGCAGACTGGCGCTTCATCAAGGCCCAAACCTGCTGGTGGAAACCGACGTTGTAAACGGAGCGCTTGGCACCGCTTCGCTTGCTCTCACGTACAGCGGCCCTAAAGTCTTCGTGCTTGGCAGTTTCTTCATCGAGTCGCGCCTTGTACTGGGTCATCTCAGTGTTGAGCCTCTCAGTGAAGGTGGATTTCTTGAAAGCCTCTTGGAGGGTCTCGGGACTGTGCGGGGCGTTTTCAGGCGAGTATCCATCTGCATATTCACGTTCGAACTCGTCGGTACAACCAGTCAGGTAGTCAGGGGTCGTTTGACGGGGCTTGCGCGCAAAGCCGAGGCTCTCAAAATAGCCTCTCGCCTCTGCTGTAGGTCCAAAGTACACCTGCTTACCCGAGTCAATGACCAGAACCTTGTCAAACTGTCGGTAGATGTTCTCGGAGGCCTGGTAGAGAGAGACAAAGGTAGCGGTCTGGTACAGGTTGGTCTGTACGCGGAGAGACTTGATGAAGTCGAGCGCCGTACTGGCGTCGAGACCTCTCGTACTGTTGTCCCACGACAGGATACAAGCATTGGTGATCATCATCTCTGCAATGGATACACGCTTTCTCTCTCCTCCAGACACACCTCTGACCAGGGCGTTGCCCACGACTGTGTGTCTTGTGTGCTCAATGTTGAACATCTTCAAAAGCATGGTAATCACGTCCTCCTTGAATTTAGACTTGGTCGTACCAGCAGGCAATTTCTTTGGGGTCTTGACATCCAGTGCGAAACCCAGGGTCTGCTCAACCGTAAGCGTAGCATGGTGAATATCATCTTCCTGGTTGTATACTGCTTCGCCTCGATAGTGGTCGAATTCCTTGGCGGTGAAGGGACCATACAAGACATCACCTTCAATACCAGTGTAGCCGGTTCGCTGGTTCGCAATGGTTTTGAGAAAAGTTGTGCACCCGGAGCCGGGCTGGCCCAAGACCAAAATCATCTCGCCGGGGTTGATAACACCACGGAAGTTGTCCAAAATGGTAACCTCGTTCATCTTGGGACCCATGCCGAGGAGACGCTTGAGGGGATGCCAGTAATCGAAGAAGCTGACAAAAGCATCTGGGAAGGTCTGTACAAAGTTCTCCATGCCGCCCATGCCCTTTACCGTCAAGCCATCCCAGTAGACACCAATGTGCTTGGGCTTGATTCCGGCTTCTTGCTCAGCAGCCAGGCCACCACGCAAGGCGGATTCCAGATCGAAAATCTCCTCGGTGGAAATGGAAGAAGGCGAATCTGCGACTGCAGATGTGCCTTTCTCGACATCTTCAACAGCATGGCTGCCTTGGCTCTGTCTGCGACTGGTTCTGGACCTTCCAGAGATTTGGCGTTGCAATTCTGCAAAATCGGCCTGGGCCTGTGACACGGATACTCCAGTGTGGGGATTCGAGGTTCCCTTGGGGTTGTTCTGTCGAGCCTGTTCGATTCCCTCTTCTATGTCCGTGGAACTAGCACTAGAGCGCGATGAAGAGGAGGATGAGGCCGTGCGAACTTGCTGGGCCTCATTGGATGTCGCGGGCGTGGACTCGGACGCGGCATTGGTGTTGTCTGTGACACCCGCCAAGTATTCCTTTTCTGCGTCTCCTTCCGCCATGGTGTTCGGTGATTGGTCGTTGCACACGTGTATATCGTCCTCTTTTTTTTTTTCGTGTATATGCGGTGAGATTATATACTAACGCCACAGGATTATCGAGCCTGCAAGAGCGTTTGAGCGGCACAGTCGAACAAGTGGGAGGAGGGCGGGGAGCCTTTTCGAACTCGCCCTCAGCGACTTCAAACTGTCGCTCACTGCACGAAAGAATAAAGGACACAAAAAAGAGTCCTCCTGAACGGTCCGACCAGTCCCTGGATTCAAACAAGGTGAGTTTGAAAAGAGCCCTTGACGGTCGGTCCAAGAGAAGTGTAATAGAAGAAGGGAAAGAAGAGATGGAAGCAGATAAGCTTAGGGCCCTGCGTCAACACATGTACTCGATTGAATGTGGACCGCAAACGGACTTTGTCACAGGCTTTTAGGGCGTTGGCGCGAAAAGTTGCAGGGTAGCTTCTTGCGTATTACCAATCAATAGAATATTTCGTCGATTTTTTTTTCTCTCCCTCCCGTCTGTTTCCCCTCCCCCTGCAGCTATGTCGACATGGAAGACCGACTAGAAAGGCAGAAAAAAAAAGTAAACAGGGGCGACTAGCTGTCGGAACCCCACCATGAATCTACAGGTACCTGGTAACGGCAATGTTCTAGGGAGTAACGGCCCCCCTGCTAGTGTCTGGGCGGGCACCACGGCGATGACCCAGCGGCCGTCTGCAGGCTTTGCGCCCACTACGTCCGCTACGTTCAAGTGGACGACAGCCTGCAGTCCACCCCCACCACTCCTAGTGTACAAAGTTTATCAGCGTCCACGAGTACTGCGGAATCATTGCAGCTCAGAGTCACGCCGGGACAGAGTGAGATAGGTGCCGGAACGCCTAGCCGAGAGCCAGTTTCAGGAAAATCGTATACCAAAAAGCGGGCCGAGTTTATTTATTCTATTGCTGCGAGATCATACTGATTCATAATGATTGAGTTGAGACCTGTTGTGTATGACCGAGAAACACGACAGCAATCGCCTGCTTGACTGCTCCCCCAAACAGGGAGGCGTTGCCAGTCCCTCACAGATATGTTCTATACGGGAGGCCACGGGTGCTGGTGACGGGACGTGGGTGCCGTGATGGCGCTCTCGACCGGGGTTGGTGCCAAGGGTGGAACATTTCTAATGATTTCGGATCGAGCCCGTAAGTACACAGTATTACTCTGTATGTTTCTGGCATATGCATGTAGTAGTATTTACGAGAAACTTGCCAATTGGCTAGTCTTCTCAAGGTCTTACACTGCGATCAGATAAGTTTCTTTGAGATTCGCTCGGATTTCCATTCCACAAACGACTCGACGCTCCACCACTGGCCATTGCTGTCGCCATCAAGTTGTGTTACACCGGCCGCTGCATAAACACCCAAAGCTATACTCGACATAATCAATCCCGATGTGTCACCAAGGCAGGCTGCCGTGGCTCAAACATCGAGTATATTCTTCGTGGAGAGGGGCAACAAACCAGCCCATATATCGTTTGACCGCCACAACGGCACGAGTTTGAACACGTTGAAGGTCAACCGTAACTATTAAATGATCACAGACATGCAGCTAGCCTATCCTAGCCGCCCTTTCGGTCCCGCCTATGGATAATGTCAGGTAGAGGCCAGAAGATTCGGAGTATCGCCGGAAACAATGACAAGCGACGGCTTTAGCTGGAAAGGGGAAGGGAGCACCCTTTGGCACTAGACTTGAGAGCCAAGAGGTAAGTGGGCGTCGCCTTGCGTGGGCGGCATAAGAGCCGTGGGGCATTTCTATTTGGGTGTGGGCTCGCTGCTCTATCTTCAACATTTCTCATTTCAAAGCACGGAGGAATGTCTGCGAAAAAGGCGAAACGAGCCACTGGGAGCCTTGCCTGGTCTGCACCTTGACGGGGCACCCGGTGGATGCTCATCTTTCAGATTGGTAACCCGCCTCCTATCTGTTGCCCCACGATGCGTAGAACGCGACGCAACGCAACCTTCAATTCGTTCACGTATCCATCCAACTCCTTGGGAAGAACTACGGGGCCTTGCCCCGTTTGTGCCTGGCCTGGCGGGCTGAGCCATTGGCTTTCCCATGTTTCGAGAAAAGTACCGAAGAAGACCCCCTCCCTTACTGACTGACCACCATCATCCACCTACACGGTAGAACAGACGTCGAGACAGCATATGTGCTGGCAAGTATGCCGCGCTTGCCCTCTCTCTACCTGCACGGAATATCCGCCGGAAGCCCAGTTTACTTGCACGGTCACTTTATTGACTGCTGCTACCTCAGGTATGCGGTGTAGGCTCAAATGCCAATCACGTGAATGTCGATCATTCTGATGCCAGAAGCAGAACCAATCTGAGCCCGGCAATCGCCAGCTCTGCTTGACTGGTCTCTCTGCCGGACATGATAGCGTATCGTAGTCGATGTGAATGACAGCAAGATTCACAAACGGTAGCTCCGATGCGCCTGAGTAGCCGGGAGGGATGATAGCCTACGGTGCAAGCTATGCCGGCGACGCTGACCACCACACAAGCTGTCACCAAAGACCGTGTGACGCTGTCTATTACGTACCTATAGCCCAGCAGCACATGCAACGTCCCAGGCTCGGCGCTCGGCCAAGGATCCAATTGGTCGTCATTTGATACTCAGTTTTGCTATGCATTACTAAAGTCGCACTTGATCAATAAGCACTTGTCCAACAATTGCACCGTATTCTCTTGGGCGGGGGGAGAGAATTTAGAAATCATTGCAAGCAAACCACCAAAACAATGTAGATCTGTGCAACCATGCAAATAGAAAAAAAGCTTGTCAACGGAGTCCTGAGCGACCCGAGACACCGAGGAACCCAATGTCCTTATTTATGACCCACTGTGATTCCCAAAGTTACATCCCTAGGCGCGTTCGGCGAGTCAGCCTTTGAGGCCTGTCCTCTGTGCCTGTGTCAGGTAACAGGTTTCGCCTCTCCAACGCCCAAGGAATGCTAATAAACCGAACCCACTGAAACCCCAGACTTGGTTCAAAACTTATCACGAAAAAATTAAATACACGGAGATAGTTTCCGGGCCACGTATCTCCGTCTTGGCAGCCCTGAAGGGACTGAACCGGCCGAATTTGGGTCCTCTGCAAGGAGGTGGCCTGCCTGAATTGTACGCAGGCAAGCCACCTGTGTCCGAAAAGAAAAGAGCTGGAGCAAAAAACGAAGTACTCTGCGTCTCCCACCTCGGCCAGAGACGCGGGTTGCAATCATAATCTTGGAAATAATACATTGCAATTGGTTCCCAAGATACAGTTGGCACTTGGAGTGCGCGATTAGGTCTTCAGCTATAATCCGACGTCACCACACACACACCACCGATAACCGTGTATGCCTCGGTTCAACTGTGATGTTTCTAATCAGAGACTCGTTACTCTCGATCTGCAAACTGCAAGGGACAATGGTGTGCCTTTCTCAAGAACATTGCAACGGATCCTACACAAAACATCATTCTTGTCGATCCACAAATAACTTTGGCATCTTTGTTTAAGCAATGTCTAATCTTCACAGACCGTAGAATCACAATCACGACCACAGTAGGGGGACTGCTTAGCCAACATGGTGCCTTTGTCGGTGGCAATGTCATGATCGTGCTCCTAAGATAGACGAGTAGCATCAATCTCGAAATTCGACTGACAAAGTTGACGTGTGCTGTAGTTTATAAGCAGCTCAGTTGCAGTGCTTCAGATGAACGAATGCCACAGCTTTCGAAACTAATATTAACCTTGCTCATAGTTACTCTTAATCTCCTACATGGAATTGCCCGTCGCAGAGTCGGCAAAGGTCCTCTCTAGGTGGTCGTCATCAAACATCTCGCTCGGCTTTTCTGCTGTGCACCATCTTCAGCCAGGCTATTATGGGTTGGATTAAACCTCGAATCAAAGGTAGGGCATCTCTCAAGTCCTCCAAGATCAGGCACGTGCAACGAGATGCAATTTCTATTTTGGAGGATACAATGACGTGCTGGAGGATATGCCTTTGCTCTGGAGAATGGGCTTCACAGCGTTGAATGACTGTCACAAATAGTCGCACTCACTTGAAGAGAAGAGGTATATGCTAACGGAGAACACGATGTGGCTCATGTGAGCATCAAAAGTTCGTTGCAGTATGGTGAATTCGGGGGACTGATAATACTCATTCTGCACCTCTATGCCCATTGTTATCCTCTTGCATCAAAGATAGGGTGTTAACAAGATGTCATCTCCCGAGTGGAAGGTACAAAATAGTCTTCCCAAAATTAGGTGACTATGCCAAACAAAAGAGGCAATCGCGAAAGCTGTCGTCGTCGTCGTCCTGAAATTTATGTGATTGCTAATCGAACAATCAGCATGGTCTTCGTCAGGTACAAGACCACCACCTCTGACTAAAGGCAAGAGCTCTGATCAATCATTTTGTCCGTTTGCGAGGAATAATAGATTGTTTCAGCTCATCCCCCAAAAATTCAATTTCGTTTTCATCAACCACAGCTTTCGAGAACATCGGACGTTGCAGCCACCCCAAGTATCCCTCAACCATCAGACCAAGCAACCAATAATTTCTCTACTTCCCAAACATTTCCAAAATACCCAACAAGCCAGAGCTGTCAGCATTGAAAAAGCTGCTTCTCACTCACACTCCTCAGAGACTCTTGCCCAGGTAAGTAGTTGACACGATTGTCTAAAGAGACTCTTGCGTGTTTCGGGGCCATCTTTGCCCTCATAACTATTACACTCACACCACCGGACCTCTAATACCCTGAGACTTTCCCGGCAATCGCGTCAACTTCTTTGCCAAACTAAACAAGCTGACAGGCACGGTTTGCAGAAACAAACATTGAACCACAACCGCCAAATTCGTCTTGCAATCACACACAATGGCCGACACAGCTGCAGACAAGGGCAAGGAGGGCAAGGGCTGGACTCCCGAGGAAGAGCTCGACCTCGTTCTCGCCGCCATGTATCAGAGCAACAGATTCGCCGCCGTCCCCTGGGATGCTGTCGCTGAGCAGCTCCAGAAGAAGTTTCCCACCAAGACCAAGGAGGGATGTCGGTAAGTCACGACATGAGCTTAACTTGCATTTTTTCTTCCCATCTTCAACGCTTGCAAAAAAGTGTCATCTAACCACCACGGAATCACAGTCAGAAGTTTGCCAAACTCAAGAACGTCTACATCACAAAGTTCGAGGTCGATCCCAATGAGACTGGCGGAGTCGCCAAAGGCAAGGCTACTCCCAAGACGCCCCGCAAGTGCAACGCTGCTTCTGGCGACGCCAACGAGGCTGGTGAGGCCAACGGTACTCCTTCGGCCAAGAAGCCCCGTTCCAACAAGAAGGCTGCTGCCGCTGCTGCCGCCGCCGCCAAGCAGGCCGAGGAGGAGAATGCCACCATTGAGGAGGAGGGCGAGGTTTAAGGATTTGAGGGTTATTTCCTCTTGAGCTAGAGATGCGAGCTCGAGGCAACGATACTCATGATCATGGACTGGTCTATGCCTACTTGATGCAACGATGCACAGTAGATGAGAGATTATGCCTTTACCCACTGGGATACTGAACACGCCAACAATTCAAGCTAGTACACGTCTCTTGCGATGTGCTGTAGTAAACCCTCAGTAGTGGCTGTTTATTGAAAACCACTGGTAGTCCCACTTGTTCCTGTTTCTTCGGATTGAAACTGTATCGTGATTTCCTATTCCCTGTGACTTCGAGCTTTGCCCTTCAATTTTCGATTGTGCCTGACGCTGAGTGTCCTGCCTGCTGGCAGGGCTCAGCTTGCCTCGCCTCTCTTTGACGTGCCCAAACATAAAGATGGACTGACTTGAAACACATTTTGCTGCACCATTTCGCGTTATGAAGTATGGAAGCAGATTAGGTACAGCATGTCATGACTACGAAACTTTAGGTGATATTTTACCTTGTTCTCAGTGCGTCGGAGACTTGAGCAATATTTATATATCGAGGAATTTTCCGCGCCAAAACTACTGTAATTAAAATTATCGTCGAAAAGTACTATACTAGGAGGCTTGTCTGACAAAAGAAGGTAGGTTATATCTGGGTTGTGACCGAAGCGCGAATATCGCCAAAGCTAAACCCAAGATCCAGCTGAAGGTCTCCCTGTGGCACACGCCACTCCTGTTCTTCGACACTCCAAAAGCTGATATCTCTCCTCATCAGACTAAAGGTAACTGGAATAGACTGACCAGCTTCGAGTTTGACTTTTTCAAAGCCGCGCAGAACTGAACGTGGGGTGCCACTAGGCGCACCGCCATCTTGTCTCGTCGGCAGGGACACATACAGCTGCGGCACGGCGGCCCCAGCCACACTACCAGTGTTGCTGATTGTGGTGGTGATGTTGAGAACGCCTCCCCACAGCTCAGAGTTACCGCCGGGCGTCGAAGTTGTCGCAGGGGTTGGAAGTGCCGAGAGGTTTTGTGCGATCCAACTGACTTGAGCATCCGAGGAAATGTCAAAAGTGGTATAACTCAATCCATGCCCAAAGCTGTACAATGGTGTGATATTATGAGCATCAAAGTGCCTATAGTCAATGAAAAGGCCTTCGGTAAAATCCTCCTGCCACGCGTCCGAGTTGAGCGCGTCCGGCCCAGTAATGTTGACAATTGGAAAGTCGTAGTCTGACTCGTTCTTGGGAATGGTGTAGGGCAGGTGACCAGAAGGATTGACGTCTCCCCAGAGAACATCCACGATGGAGTTGCCGGCTTGTTCTCCAGGGTAATGAGCAGCTACAATCGCAGCAACCTTGTCGTCCCACGGCAGAGTATTGACTCCAGAGGAATGCGTCACGACCACGGTTCTATTAGAACACAAGGCTGCCACGTTTTCGACGGCCAGAGTAGAGTTCCAATCATTCTCCAGGGAAAGGCGGTCCCAACCTTCGGTTGAAAAAGTCTTGAGAAACACGAGACAAACATCAGGCAAAGGAAAGATGCTGGTCAAATTGTTACCTGCGAGAAGGTCGTTGTTGGTGATATACTGCGTGCGGAAGCCGTCGCGATAGCCTCGTTCTCGAATCGCGCGCAACGGCGATACCAAATCGCTCGTACGACCGGCGCCGGAGCCTCCACCAACGGCCAGTGTCCCGTATTTAGCTCCAAGCGGCCGTGACGGATCTGTGATTGGGCCCAGAAAATAAAGACCGTCTGACGTGTCTGGGGCATCGTTGCCAAACACCACGATATTGGTGACGTTTCTGATGGGGAGAATCGATTGTTCATTCTTTAGTAATACAGTGCCTGCCGCCGCAATCTCCCTGACCAACGCTCCATGATCGGCTCGAACGTCTCTGGCGACTGGAATGGCGGGGTTAAGTTGGGCCAAACCGTAGGAAACATAATACAGCCAAGCATTTGACGGATCAACGCTCGGAAAGTCTTGATCCTGGCCGAGCAAGTAGTACGGCGTCATGATTCGCAGAACCATGTCGTCAAGACGCGCCTCGGACACGCTTCCATTGTTGACGGCGGTGGTGAGATTGGTGCCAAACCATGATGGAATTTCATGAAAGGGGATTGCGCTAAGGTTCAAGGTCTGAGCCTCACCTTGGCTCAATGGACCAGGCATGGTCATGTCGAGGCCCCCATTCACAGAGTCAACTCCCGAGTGCGTCGCAAACCAGTCGGACATGACGTAGCCCTGGAAACCCAATTCGCCTTTGAGAATCTCGTTCAAGGTGCGGTCGTGCGCGCAGGCATAAGTCTGATTCAGACGGTTGTAACTGCACATGACGGACGCAGTGCCAGCCTTGACCGAGTTGGCAAAAGGCCAGAGGTACAGCTCATGAAGGGTGCGATCGTCGATATTGGCCGAGATGGCAGCTGTTTCGATTCCATTCGTGATGACACTAGATCGCTCTGTTTCTTGCTCATTGCCAATGTAGTGCTTGGCACATGCTTGAACACCAGCATCCTGATGCCCGCGAATGGTCTCTTCCATGGCGATGCCAGAGAGATAGGGGTCAACGGCGAACCCTTCCCAGTTGCGGCCGCCAAGTGGGTGCCGCCCAAGAGGACCAGCAACCGGTCTGGTATCGTGTCAGTGAATTATCATCGGCAATGGAAGTCGCGCTCTGAACTAACCCTAGAATGACATGAGAGCCCTTTTCGCGGAATTCCTCCCCCATGGCAAGACCACGAGCATACATGAGATCTCTATCCCATGTCGCGCCCGTGGTCACACCTGCTGGGAACAAGGTGGCAAGATCCGCGACACGTATGCCAGCAGGACCGTCGTGGAGGCACATTCCGCTAAAGTTCAAACGTGGAATGGGGGCAATGTTGCCATCACAAGGACCTAGAATCCACCCTGTAGCCAGAAAGGCTTTCTCGGTCAGGGTTAGGCGAGCAGAGAACTCGCTAGCCAACTGCTGAGCTTCACTCCATGATCTGCTTATGCCGGTATTGTTCGGAGATATGGCCAGAGCACCAAGTAGTGGCCACACAGCCAGCAAAAGTATGTGTGAAAGCATGTTTGGCATCGAGCCTCCACGCAAAGAGCAATAATTTGATCCTTTGATGATACGAATGAGGCGGCTGCGACATTTGTTTTCATGCCCAAGTCATCATCAGAGGCGCAAGGTACGGACAGGTATATATCATCAAGCCCAAGTGAATGACGTGAAGCTGAATCGAACTCTGGTCAAGATGGCCGTGGAAATTTCGGGTAATCTAGAGACGAGCCTCGATGCGGGGATTGTTTCCTTGTGACCTTCCAGTTACGATCGGTACAAGTTTTCCGCATCACGTCCATCTCCATGATGTTCAAGACACACAACGGGCAACTTGTGCCGCCGAATTTTCGGGTTCTTACTTGGGGTTTTCGGGTTGTGGGAGATGGATGCAGCCAACGGTAATGTATGAAATTGTGATTTCACGTTATCCTGCGGCTATTCCCTTGCCAATTGTGCATGCAAAATGCGGGGATTTAGTCCATGTTCATGACATTGAACCAAGATCTTTCCCTATAATGGCAGCGCTATAGTCAATAAACAAGAGCAAAACGCGGGGACGGCAACTGTGATAGGCTCGCCTGTGGGGGGACCCCAGACCCACGAGCTCGGAAAGGAACATCGGATTTTTCGCATGCACACAGCATCGTCATTATCCCAAGAAGTAATTTTAAGCCTCCTGATATGTATACACAGAGCTATACAGTCGTACGAAGCTGCACGTGGCGTCTCTACCGTACAATTTTGATGGTCCGAGGATTCGTCGGATGTAGGTGTATGATGAATCATCTAGTTGAAGCAGGGGTCTGCAATGCCAAATTGAACGCATCACATAAGTTTAATTGCAGAAGTGGTTGGGTTGTGTAAGTCTCTGCGTAGGAAGCCTTATACAGGGCGCACACCCTAGTGTCATACATGGACGGATCCCAATAAGTGGAAATCAAAGACAGTGGTGGTTGCTTGTATTCACCGTATGCAATCAATGTCTAGATATAAGATGCCAACGTAGCGCCTAATGGAACTCCATACAATTCAAATACCCAAATCTTGCTATTTGAAGGTGCAGTCAACGCCAGACTTTCGTATTTGTTTCGATAGCCAAAGATGATTAGTCCGCTAGTCTATGTTCTTCACGAGACGACAAGGACCGTTTCTGCTTGCTATTGAGCGAGAAGCAGATATTCCGAGTTTAATATGTCTTCTCCATCATATCGTTTCTGGTGGTTTGAACTCATGCTGACAAAAATGACACGATCATGACATCTGTTCAAGTTCAGGTGACCACCTGTGGCCCCTTGAACAAATAGTCAAGTTGTGACCTTCTGCCCAATTTACCGACATATTCATGGGACAACCAGGTGATGGGCGGGATGACAAGCGTATTTCACGTCTCTGTGACAAGCCGCAAGTTTGCCAAACTTGACCCAGGGCCTCCGTTCGACTACAGTCCGACCGGCTCCTGTGGATAGGAGCGAACCAAGTTACCGATTGCCGCTTGACGTCCTGGTCAAGTACTACGCAATGTTCCCAACAAGAAACAAACGACTTCATCCGGGTGTCGCTGGTGCTGCGGCTTAGATAGAAGCCGCAGTCAACGACGAGCCCAGAGCGCGCGCCAATTGGCGTGGACATTTTGGCTGCGCGCGGACGCCCTGCGACTTCATCACGTTACAGTCACACTGCGGCGGAGATCTACTATCCTTCCAAGCAAGACGTTGAACGTTTGACCGCAAATATGACAACGCACGATTCCTTCGACAAATGATTGCCGCGAATTCTGCGACTCAATTTGCCTGGAACATCGGTAAATCACCAAGCTTTATCCATCAAAATGATCAATTTCCTGACATTCACCATATTTATTCGTCACGCCAAAGATGTTCTATTCGGCACAGCATATATTGTACAGGCTAGTTGGGGCATTAAAGTGATGCCTTGAAGATGTTGTGATCTATGAGAAGCTGCCATAGCTTTCTTTTTCCGTTGTGGTCGGTTTTTCTCAACGTCAAGGAGGCGCAGATTGAAGTTCATGGTGATGGGCGAAGCATTGGCCACGTGCTGAAGTTTAATATCCGACTCTGCCACTTCTATTGCTCCGAATTGAATGCGACCAGCCAGACCTTGATGAGGCTTGGTGATTCAACATCGGTCACCTACTCACGAACCAACCATATGCTGAAGATGCTATGCACCTTCTACATCTGTCCATTGGAACTTATTTCGAGCCCTTGGCACTCTGATTTGTGTATCCCGAGACTACCAAAATGATGGTCCAAGACTATTTGCCTTTGACGCCCCAAGATTTGGTGCATTGGAACAACACCCTTGGTATTTCATTTCCCTCTTAAACATTCATGGGCCGAAACTCGACTGATTCTGATAGAATCCATCGCAGATGGCCGCTTCATCACTGCAGCCCTGTAATCAACGACATCGCTGCTCTTTCTACCGTCATTGGCACCTGGGTGAATCCCAGTTATCCGAGATGCGTAAGCTTAAATGAAAGAAGGATGATGATATGGAACATGGATTACCGCCCAGACTATAATACCTGTTCAACCCCCGCCACATCCTCGCACTCCGTTCAGTCACGACAAACACTTTTCAGAAGCCCGCCACTAGAATCGGGTTCGCAATCGCATTGCTGCTACCAACAAAAGGGAGGCGATGCTGGACAACGCGCGACCTGTTCTCCCAGGTCTCAGCAAGACATGTCCCTGTTTGACCAGATGCTCCATCGAGTATGAGATGACGGGGTTTGATTTCTTGGCGCCATTATGTGGTGTTTTGCGGACAACTGGGCATGTGGCATGGACTCGGGCCTATTACAGGTCAATCGGCCTACTTGAAAGTTTATTTGAGACGAGAAGCTTTGTTGAGTCGAGGCGCGCCAAGTTATAAGTGAAAAGATTGAGCTTTTTTGCGAGCCTCCATTTTCCCTTCAATCGGGACGATGATGCAGTCAAAGGAGCAGTGCACAGGGAATAGGCATTGAGCCGAAGTGCAGATCGCAATGTGACTAAACTCCGACTCGAGTGGTACTATAGCTTCCCGAGGTCGCGTTCCTCGCATTCTTCGCATAAAGAGGCCCGTGTTGGTGTCTGTTTCTAGCGACAGCCTATCAGAGGCAGTTCCGAGCTGAAGAATTAGCAACCTATGAGATCCATTTGCGAGGGGCATATGCACTTTATACAATTCCCGAGCATTTCCCATGCCCATCCCTGTTAGGCTACAAGAAAGCAACACAGCCAAGTCAAAATAATCAATGTCAGTACGACGGATCCCAGGGAAATCGCCTCTATAACTGCCTAATAGGTGCACCATGATTCGCCGATGCATCCGTCTTGGTTCCAAGCCTCCCTGCATCGCCCCTGGGAGATCTGCTCTAATTGCGGGGTGCTAAGCAACAAAGCCAGCGAGTAGGAGAAGAGAAGTTAGTAAAGCTCGGTTTCGAATAGTAGTCTATAAGACTTTTGTACTCTATTCTCCTATAAGCTGCGTCAGTATTTAGAGGCAGAAGTAACCCCATTGTGCTTCTCTTGTGTTATTCCAGAGTCCAGATCAGTCTCTACAGTACAACCCATTGCAATACAAACATTTCAACATGCGTTTTCAATTAATTCTTGTGGGCTTGCCTCTCGCCTTGGCCAGCGTGCCAGACACGGTTCATGACTGGCACCCACCAGTTGATGGCGACTGTATGAATCCCTTTCTCCGCCCTACTGAACGTTAGCTAACTGATTCTCCCTACCATAAGTTCGCGGTCCTTGTCCCATGATGAACACATTGGCCAACCATGGCTTCCTCCCCCGAGACGGCCGCAACATCACCAAGGACAATGCCATCTCGGCCCTGGGCAACGGACTCAACTTTGACGCGACCCTCGCCGGCATCATGTGGGATCAGGCCATCATTGCCAACCCTACCCCCAACTCGACCTTTTTCACGCTCGACCACCTGAACCGCCACAATGTGCTCGAGCACGACGCCTCCATTTCGCGCACCGATGCCTACTTTGGCAACAACCACGTCTTTAACCAGACCGTCTTTGACACGTCGTGCAAGTACTGGACCACGGAAATCTTGAGTGCCCAGCAGCTGGCAAACTCGAAGCTTTTCCGCCAGATTGAGAGCCGCTCGACCAATCCAGAATACACTTTTACCACTCACACGGAGCCATTCAGTCTCGGCGAGATGGCCGCACCGCTCATTGTCTTTGGAGACCTGGAGACGGCGCTCGCCAACCGTACCCTTGTGACATATTTCTTCGGTATGATCTCCTCTTATATCATTTCAGTACAGAACGAATGAACAAGACGCTAATCAAGAGACACCTTTTTGCAGAGAATGAAAGACTCCCCTCCGAGCTTGGCTGGAGCAAAAAGGTTGACGCCATCACCCTTGAAGAGATCACCAGAATGTCCGACATTGTGGCAAACGCTACAAGCTTGTTTACCGAGGCCGCCGTAACCACTTCCGAGAAGCGCCGCAATATTCATGGTGGTGCCAGTCTTCGTGTGCTGCGCAACTTGATCTAGGGGCCATTCCTGCGGTACCGATGCTGGGGTTATGATAGCATTCCAAGAGAGGGGAGTTGGTGGTCTTGGTTGTCGATCACTTCCTGTAAATAAATTATTGTTCTTTCCAAATATGCTGGTTGGTGGATTGTAGCATAAGGAAATGAGAGTTTATGTTGCTTGCATAACCCTGCACTCTAATACTTAACCATGTTCATTATGTGACACTTGTCGATTTCGGCGCAAGCTTTCACGGTTTGATAGAGACCTGACCAGCAGATTTGATTGAATGATGTTAGGTGTGCTTGCATGCAACTGTAAGGGCAATGCGGATCCGAAGTCGACTCTGGTACGAGGATGCAAGCCAGTTTGTAGTTATTCACAATGGAGTAAAAATGCAGTATACAATAACAGGTGTCTTGGTTATTATGCGTCATGTATTTTCAATTTAAAAGAATTCGTTTCGGTCATGAGGCGAGTTGAATGAATGGAGGCATTGAGATTAAAGAGGAAAGCAGATAAATGAAGATAATTGGCCCAGTCAATAACCAGACTACCAAGGAAACCTGAGCTGTCTGGGGGTTCTCCCCAGTCTGAGCCTCGGTGGCCGAGTTGGTAACAACTTTGAGTGTGCGGCCAGGAAAATAGTGAACCACTTTTCCGGGGTCTGATGTTCGATTCTTCGAATTGTCAGATCTGCCTTTTGTGGGAAGAAGTTTTTTTTATCTCTTTTTCTAATTTTATTTTTCTCGTTCTCCTATTTCTCCCTTTTTCTTCCCTCCCCTGGTTCATCTCTGCTCTGTAATTTCCATCCCTCCTCTTCTCACAAAATCCACAATCACTGGTATAAAATCAGAATCGGTTGCCCGACTCTTGAATCAAGACATTAATTCACGGGAGAGCTCTTTGCTAAGGTGTTTGACAATTTATTCACTGTCAGCATTGCCAAGTCTGGGAATGTGGACAGTCCGCCCACTGCTTGCACAGTCACACTTGAATATTCTCAAACAAGCTGCCCACGATGCACCTGTGGTAAGCTGTTGTGAATCATAACCTTGGTTATTTTACAGCTCCAAGTCGTAGAAATCTTGTGTTTGATATGTAGTTATCGCTGTGCCAGTAAGTAGTTCAGGTTCAATAAATCTAATGACTGCAAAGTTTTTTCAGGCCATCCAGAAACGTTGAGTCTGCATTACCCGTTTGCAAAAAGGAAGAACTCAAGGCACAAAGGTACTCTGAAAATAATCTACCTTTGTGGCTAAAAGCCTACAAACGGGCGGAGAAAATTCCGATCTTCGGTTTGCAGGGACGATTGCAACTGATTTTTGTGTAAACACCCTTACATGTTGGAGAATATGCTATTTTTCTTACCTTTGGTTGTACCTACGATGTACGTCAAGCTGGGAGAAGGCACAAGCAATGACTGAGAGCAATATTGAATAAAGACCGAGCATTTAAAGACTTCTGGCACATAAGTTTGATTTCCTATTCAAGAAGCTTGCCATTGTGTCAGTTATGGTTATCATATTGGTCACCACTTTTGTTGTTCTTTCCGTCCCATGTCAAGCTTATAAGCAAAAAGAGCTAAGTAGTTCGGACGAAAGGGATATTGCAGCATATCCCTTATGATTATATAGTTTAATCCTAATGTCCACAAAAGTTATGAGTTGCCTTTTCGTCTATGTCGTCTGATGCTGCTTATAAATAACTGTGCAAATTTTAATGCGACGGAATCATTGTTCAATGGCATGACAATGCAACTTCTCATGAGCAGATCCAGAATTGCACTAATAATATGTTTCCTTCGGAATATCAAACTCTGTATCGAAGCTGTAACTTTGTTGGTGGCACAGTAGGCTGGCCAGAATGGCTGATGGTAACGTGATAGCCAGCAAGGGCTCACTGGCAGAGTGTTCGATATATTGGTAAGAGGCAACGGAACCAATTATCACATTATCTGGGTTTCAAAACGGTCTCTGTCGACAGATCTAGTCACGTTGATTAATATTCACTCACAACAGGTGGTGAAAATCAGAACAATAGAGCACGTTCACGGTGTGCCGAAAATATGCTGTGGATGTATCATCAATTGTCTGTCCATGCCCGTGATGGAGTAATGGACGATTGCTCTGCAAAGTTTGGATGAGCCTGAGGCAGTTTCATGTCTGCGGACTGGACCAATAGCAAGAGTCACACAGTGATGAGCTTTGCTTAGCAAACGCCTTGGGTTACTATTCCTAGGCCAGTCAGTACTCGTGCTGGGAAGTTCACCTTTCATCACAACCGCCATGAAGGTCGGCGAAATCCTTATTTGCTTTTCAAAGCTTTCTTTGACCAACATATTATCTCTTCCATTATTTGTGTAGCCCCTATGAGCGCTCCGGGTAACTCGCGTCGCCGTCCGTGCTGCTGAAAACAACAAAATCACTACGAGCGCCTACAGCCACCTCAACCACATCACCATCTCCTACCACCACCATTCACCAACATCAACATTATATTGTCAATCTACGTGTCGACGGCGACGTGTTGGCATTATCTGCAGGATTATTTTATCATCGTCATTAAGCACCTTCTCGCTTTGCGTACCCGCCTCGTTTAGCTGAGCCCATGGCCACTTGCCCGTACCCGCGCGTGGAGACATCGTGAGATCCGGCCACTCATGCGCCACGAAGCTCCGGAATAGCTTCAGTCAGGTCACATCCTCGCGCTCAGTGCACTTGCCAGCTGCAGACAAATCGTGGGGCAGCTTCAAATCTTTTCACCTTGCAGGCCACTGTCCCAACTTTGCAACTCTTTCCAACCATCACCATCACACCTCACCTTCTCTTCCCCATCACCATCGAACAGCGCGACTTGGCCATTTTGCCAGACATTACGACTGCATCATACGACAGTAAGTATCAATGTTTTCATCTCTTGTTTATTTTTTACAACTTCAGATCGAGAGAGCTGACTTGGTCAAGACGCGTTTGCTCGCTCGCCGCCGCGCCGCCGCCGCCGCAACCACCACCACTTTCTCCCCCCGGGCAACGCCATCGTCGTCGTCGGTCTGTTCGCTCGCATTGTAAGTACCTGTTTTTCTTCTCATCTGAATTTTTCTCGAACATTTTTCTCGAAAAATTCTAACGATAATTTTCCTCGCGCAGAATATTCCGCGCCATGTCCTCGGGCAAGGCTGTCGCCGGCCCGAGTTCGCCGACTCCCTTGGGCAAGGAGTCCCGTCGTCAAGACGCCACCTACGAGCGTCTTGACGACGAGGTCGAGCCCACCACGGCGGGTAGCTACGACAGCTACACGACGTGGAGCGGCCCGACGGCGGCTCAGCTTGCCAAGCGCAAGCGACACGAGCAGCAGGTCGAGCAGCGCGAGATCAACCGCGCAATGCTCCCTGAGCTGTACGCTGGCGCCCCCAAGACGCCAGCCGATCCAGAGGCTCACGCCGCCGAGGCAAGAGCCGCTCTGGGAATTCCTACTTTGGCCGAGTATACTGCCCAGGCTGATGCCAAGGCTCTCGAACAGCGACTGGCTTCGTCTGACACGGCAGCAACACTCAATGGCAACAAGGCTGTGCCCGAGAAGAAGCGTGGCGGTCTTATCTCTAGCCTTTCTCGCGACTTCAGTGGCACCATTGGCTCCATGTTCAGTCATACTGAGCCTGAGCGCCGTGCTATTGGAAAGCCGTTTGGTTTCCGTCGAGACGACGGTGCAGGTCCTGGTCTTTCTGGTTTCTTTGAGGAACACCGCGACTCGATTGAGGCTTATTCCCAGGCTAATGCTGCGGCTGCCAACATCAACATTTCTGCCCCGGACAGCACAGTTGAGCAGAACAACGCCAACGACACCGATGAGCATAATAGTTCCCGTGGACTTGTGGCTCCCCGTCCTCCCACACGTCGAGGCAACCGCACTTCCTTGCAAGTCACTATTCCAAATGCCATATCTCCGATTGGTGAAGCGCACATTCCCAAGAAGCCTGTCCGAAACGACAGTGAGGAGGTTATTGAGTCCTTTGGTACTACAACTGTCATCTATGCCACTCCTCCCGACACTGGAGACTTTGCCAACCGTAACCGCAACTTTGGCTGGCCAGGCTCTGGTGGAAATCGTCGCAACGGTGGTGGAAACTCGGGACTGGTGAACCTTCTTCAGAATCTCAGCCCTGCAACAATCACCATCTTGTTCTGGATCTTGGCAATTCTCGCGCAGGCTGCTTACACCATTGTTATTGTTTGCGTCTCGATCCTGGCCTACAATTCTGAAAGTGAGCAACAGTATGATGAGGGCGCGCTTCGCGGCCTCGTTGCTTCCCTCATTGGCATTCTGGTTTTCGGTCCGCTATTCGCCGTTTGCTATGCCCGTCGCATCTCCAACCGCACCATCAAGAAGCACAGCAACCTTCGCATCGAGACCATGGTCTTTCGTGGTAGACCGGATCAGTTTTTGTACTGGCTCTTTGTTGCCTTGGCCGAGTTGAGCTACACTTCAACCACTGCCGCAGTCACCATCATCACTGTTGCCTCGCATGATGGCCAAGACGCTTCTAACGGCACAATAATCTGGCTCATGCTCTCGGTCTTTGCCTTTGCCCTATTCGGCTTTCCGTTTGCCATGATGCACGCTCGTCGTACGAGTACCCGCATCGTTCGTGGCCATCGCTCTCAGCAGCGACACGACGATTCGATCGAGCTTCAGCCCGTTGGCACTCGCAACTTTTCGCGCCCGACGAATGACCCCATGCAACTGGCACATGAACTTGAGGCTGCTGTAGGAAGAGACAATGAGAACCTGCCTACGCCAGCGACTCTTCCTTCTATTTACAGTCAGAGTGTCTTGGTCACTCGCAGCCAAAACCCCAACGTGCGTACTCCTGTTGCTGTCTACAATGATTTCTCCCATGATCTTGACCGCACCATTGCCCAGAATGAGGATGTCGACCCCAGTGGCATTAGTATCGCCATTTCCGACTCTCTCGTTGGTCATTGCGATGAGTCCTCGCCCACCCCAAGCATCTCATCCGGACTTACCTATCACAGTGGCCGCTCTGATCTGCAGAAGATTGACAGCCCCTTGGAGCAAGTCACTCCTACCCCGAAGAGTTCTTCGACACCTGGATCCGCACCCCAGCTCGATTCCGACTACGGATCAGTTCTGTCGGCAGAGCAAATGTCCATCATTTCGATTCCCACAGCTGCAACCAAGGTGCATATCCCCCATTCTTCGGCCGTGGCCGACTTGTCGTCCTCATCTGACGATCGCTCCATGGTGTCCTCCCCGCTGCGAACCCCTCACACCAAGGCAAGCGCCTCGCCCCAGATTGTTTCCTCGTCGCCCTTTGACTTTCAGGGCGCCACGTCGAGCGTTTCCGCACACCACGCCGCCGAGTTCTCCATCCCCCGTGGTGGTGGTATGAAGCGCAGCATTTCCCAAGCTTCGCTGGGCCGCCGCGACGAAGCTCTGGGCTCTCATCCCATTCCCGACCACTGGCGCCAGATTGATTATGATGCCGGCAAGATTCACAGCACCCAGAGAAGAATGAGCAATGAGTACATGTCTGGCGACCCCGGCCCCTCATCTGGTCCCTTTTCATCTGCTACTCCTCACCAGCGAGATACAAACTATGGCTTTTATGCCATGACACCCATTGAGGAGCGCAGCGAGTCCGGCACTGCCCGTTCGTCTATGCGCACCGCAAGCTACCGCATCTCCCGCTAATAATCCTATCCTCGCATGATGGAGGGCTCTCTCCTAGGTTGCAACAAGGTCGCTAAACTAGAGAAAACAATCACTTCTTCTCCTCGGTTCTGCTTCCCTGCTTTTGAGCAACGGGGCGGGAGAGTTTGGAGGAAACACTCTGAACATTTCATCATTCCAGCGTTTGTCTTTTGGGGCGATTCTATTCATGGACTTGAGAGATCCATTCCGCCATCGCTTTTCTTGTGGAGCCCATTCTGTTTTCGACGATTGACCTCTCCCTTCTTGTTTTTGCCAACTCGCGACTCCTTTCAGGATGAGAAAGTTTGGCTCATTCTTTCTTTTCTCAATGGCACTCGTCTTTTGCATTCTTGTATTTGCCGCATCTCCGCGTTGTATACACGGAAATCGACAGGATGAAAAGAAAGCATGAGGCCAAGTTGCTGCCTTTTTTTCTGCTTTTGAGTTCATCCACAATCTGTCTTGTACACCATGGCATTTGATGGCTTTTCCGCCCAAGGAGTTTTCAATCTCCTTTTCGATGCATTTACACCTAAAAACATTTCTCTTCTGAGAACCAAAAACACTCGGAAAACGACAAAACTGTACCAAAAAAAAAGTTTCACTGAATCATACTTGCATTCTTCAGGCGTTTCGGCAAGATACCCCAACGGCGTACACTTTGTTTCCCTTGCTCTTGACGAGACACCCCCAAAAGATGACAGAAAAGGAAAAGTTTTCCCAGCATTTACATGCTTTCAGCGTTACGACCATCATGATACCCCCTCCCAAGGACGCGGCGTACAACCCGCTGTCTTCTCGAAAGAGAGTTCAAAGTTGTACAACCCCACAAACCCTCCCAGAGATGAGAAAGACGTACTCGGATTTTCATGAGACGTATATGGTAATGGTGTTTGACAAGAAAAGGCGCATCGATTTGATACTTGGCGTCGTGGACAATGCAAGTACCGGGCAGGGCAAAAGAAAAATGTGAACATCAATCTTTTGTAACATGGCTCGCCCTTGACTAGAAAGTCTGCCTAGAGAAAAGGAAGAAAAAGAACTGAATGGAATTTCGGGGGTCCAAGGGTAATGCTCAGAAGAGGAGGACGTTGGGCGAATCTGACATACCATAGGCTGAATGACCAAAAGTTCGCTAGAAAAAAAATATCACTAGTCTTGATCTGATGAAAAGAATGATGAATGGCATGATTGTGAACATGATTCGTAGTGTTTCTTCTCTCTACACTATTGGCATTAAGTCTATATAGCCCTTGCTGCGCGGGCACGATTCTCCCGGTTGCGCTTCTCCTTGCTCGCCGTCTTTCTACGCTTCTTCCACGACCGGTTCAAATCACCACGATGCTCCCAAAACCAATTTTGGAACTCGCTCTTAGAACTGGACTTATCGGCGGAGGCTCCGGGCGTGGTAGCATCAGTCATGGTGGTATCCTCGCCGGCATCTTCACCCTCCTCGTCCTCCTCATCCTCTTCAGCAATGTCGTCTTCTCCAAGTCGCGGCCATAAATTGTAAGATCGACTCGGATGAGCAGTATCAGGCGTGGGTGCAGCACTGCGAATGTTTCTGACCTCAAAATCTTGTTTGCTGAATGGTGTCATGGGGACTTGACTGCTGGGAGCAGCAGCCTCATCCAAATCTTCCTCGATATCGTCATTGTTTCCAAAGAAGCTAAAGCCAGCGTCCGGTTCGGCTTCTGTACCAGCGGGTCTCTTGTACAGAGCCTCGAGAGGATGCACCTTGGTAGCTGCTGGCGTCACTGGTGGGATCTGAATCGTGAGACTCGCAGCTGAGCCAGAGGACTTTGGACGAGCTGAATCATTCTTGGCCGCAGTTGCGGGACTAGTTGGGGTTTGCGTATCGACCTGGAGCCTTTTGGGCTTTTGCTTCACTGGGGATTCGTTTGAATCAGACTCGTTTTCTGAAGATGAACCGCTGCTACTTGTGCCATCGGAATCATCAGCCAGAGGGGCGTTAGTCTTGAGGGCCGCGGGAGCTGCTGCTTTTGTCTTCGTAACAGGGACTTTTGGTGCTGGTTCCTCGTCCGAAGAATCGTCGGAATCATCCGAGGATGAGCCACTACTGCTCGTTGTATCGTCGGCTTGCTGGACTGGAGTAGACTTTGTTTCCTTCTTGGGCGCAGTCGGCTTCACAACTTCATCTGAATCGCTATCCGAGTCTGAAGATGAGCCACTGCTGCTGGTATCGTCGTCATCCACGGGTGCCGGTTTGGCGATTTGTTTAAATCCGACCTTGACGTTTGCAAATGATGGCCTTGTGATGTTTTGTGATTCCACCACATTGCCCTCTTCGTCGACCCAGCCCTTGCCGTCCTCAAAAGTCAAAGGCTTCGATTCCGTCGTCGCTGTGCTCGACTTCAGGAATGTCGGATACTTGTGCGTCTTTTCAAACTCGTGCATTACAACCTGGCGAGCGCCCTTTCTCTTTTTGCGCTTCGGCTCATCCTCCTCCTCCTCGTCGGCCTTCTTGCTCTCGCTTGGGGGCTCTGGCAATGTTTGCTTGAACAGACACTCGGGGGCGTCCGTGTACTTTGACTTGACCTCTCTCTTCTTGAGCTTCTTCTCCTTCTTGCCGTCGGCATCCTTGCCCTTCTTGTTCCTGTCCCTGCGCTTCTCCTGAATCTTGTCGCTCTCTGTAACGGTCCAGCCACGCTTGATCTTGCGGTCCTGAATCACGGCGCCCTCGACCTCCTCGCCCTCCCACTTGCGCTTCTTGAACTTTTCGCTCTCCTTGAGCTTGGACTTCTTCTCCTTCTTGGGCTTCTTGACCTTGTTTTCGTCTGCCATGGCGCCGCCGTTGGGTTCGTGTATCGACTCAGGGCGGGCTTGATCAATGCGCACCTTGGTGCCCCTGAGAGTTGCGCCGTTGAGCTTCTTGCGCAGCTTGTCGGCGTCGGCGAGGGGCAGCTCGACAAAGCCGTATCGCTTCTCGGGAAGGGTCTCGAGGTTGTGATAGGAGATGTTGCGGGCTTGCGGCAGGACGGCGGCGGGGACTACGACTTTCAGAAGGTCGGCATCCAGTGGCGTGATGTGTAGGCGCGTATATCCTTCACTGTCGGACTGCAATGTTGTTTTCGCGGCTGAATCTCCGGCCATGTCTAATTCCAAGAAAACGACACGTAGAGTTCAAACCTCTCAGCTCGTACGACACGAGGCTAAAAGATAATACTCTAGAATCAAGTGAGAGAGGGTTGCGCTGACCGCCTCCTCGTCTTGTCAGATACTTGGGCGGCGGCGGCTAATTGAATGTTTGTATGACAGGCAATTCTCCAGATGGAAGGTTGCATTTCCTGCTTCTTTTTTTCTGCTTGCGGACCCACTATATTTTCTTTGAGCTCTTGGAGAATGGCAGGGGTCCAGCGCCCATAATTGAGCCCATAACCCAACTGAGAGCCGCCAGACCACTTTGGCGGGACCCCGTCATTCGTTTAGCGGGTCGAATCGGCCGAAGCCAGGACTGTGGTTAGCCGCGTCTGGGGCATTCGCTCCGCTGATCCATTGGCCAACTACAGCATGTTTTGACGTAGACACATCAAATGCACTCTTCTTTATTCCATATATCATCCGTTGGTATACTCGAATAGTCGCCCACAATGTCTCAAAAAGCAACTCCAGTCAAATTCGTCAAGGGTGTAAGTTTTGGAAAATCCAAATTTCAATCCATCAAGTTATGAAACTGACTTGATTCTCCCAGGTCTTGAAGTCGTTCATGGCCGAGTCCGGTCTGGAGCCGAGGTTAGTCGCCATTGAGCCAGATAAAGAGATATCGCCATCTCCCGCCACAAATCCTCGCCTTGTTGGAGCTGACAGAGATATATGTTTGATATAGATTGCTTGGGCCTCATGTAAGTGTCCCGTCTTGTGTCCGGTACAGACGAACCCACTGACATGAGCAGTTGAGGATTGTCAATGCCGTGCGAGGCAGAGTGGACTTTGAGTTGGACATAACCAAGGATCACACGGTTTGTCACAACTTCCAATGGAGGATGATCCGCCATGGAGACTAATGATACTTCAAGAACCGACTCAAGATCCTCCATGGAGGTACAATTGCCAGCATGGTTGACTTGGGTGGATCGCTCGCCGTCGCCTCCATGGGGCTGTATGCCACGGGCGTCTCGACAGATCTGAACGGTAATGCCCCACCCATTTCTTCTCGAAATATATCTGCTGACTTTATTCAGTCACATACTTGAGCAGCGGAGGCAAGGTCGGAGAAAAGCTTTCAGCAACTGCAGTGTGCGACAAGAGTAAGCCGCCCTTTCATACATTGTCAGGCAGATACTCACATACATGACAGTCGGCAAGACTCTTGCATACACATCCATTACCTTTACGAACAGCAAGGGTGAGCTTGCTGCACGAGGAAGCCACACCAAGTAAGCCAGCTCTCGTTTTTGCCAAGTATGTCGTTTAGCCTCTAACCCCCCAAATAGATATGTCACGCAAGCCTGGAAGTCGCAAACGGGAGAGCCATATACGCCTCCAGAGGGTGTCAATCTGGAAGATGTCGACTGATTCAAGTCCGAATTTCTACTCCTCGACCAACCATCTCATTGATGACTCCGTTCTTGGCTACTCCAGCAGGAAACATTCCCATCGCCCTTTATTACCCAGCATTGGCCAGGCGATCCTTCGGACCATGGTTGTCATCTTGCCGATTAGAGCTCCTCGTATGTCTAATGTTTGATATACAGATCCAAGTCATAGATTTTCTGATCCAAATAAAGATCGTTAATTCTCGAGCAATCTAATATCTTGAATAGAGACAACAAGTGCCAACCAATTCCTTTGCTTAGTCCATCCATCTTGTCCTAGGCAACTCGTACCGAAATATCCAATAGCTTTCGCTGCCATGTGGCTTTTTACCATTCTGATACTCATTTATTGGTTTTTATATCTGAATCAATTCAAGCAAGCATCGTTCATTGGTCTTGTGACTTTTTACTGGTGTATCTCTATAGTTAAAAAGGACAAGGACTTTTCTCTTTCCCATATACATACAATCTATGCCGCTGCCGAATTTCCAGCATGAACTCTATGAAGGATTTATTTTTTAGATCTACTGGCAACCTTGATATGAGCTGGTTCAGTCAGTCATTTTGGTTGCTATCAGCTAGAGCTCATCGCTCCAAGGGAGATGCGCCAACTCTTCATTGGTCCTGAAATTGTCATGGTCATAATCTTCAACCATGCCATCATTTTCGTCCTCCATCTCCAGATAACCTGGGGCGCATCTCTCAATAGCTTCCATCCAGAGATCAATGTCGGGCTGGTAAATGTATGGGGCTTTGGCGTCGAGAATGTCGAGTAATGGCTCCTCCATATTCGAACTATCGATATGGTTAGATTAGCAGGTGTCCCGCTGAAGACGAGACAAAATGCAGCAAGTCAATGTCCCTGAGGATTGGGACTTACCTCAGTCTATAAGGGTTTTTAAAAGTGTCACCCTCGAGCACCTCGTCAACAGACCAACCGAGGATAGTCATCTTTTCGTAGGCGTCCTTCATCCTCAACGGCCAGACTCTTCCCTCGGCCAAGACTTGTCCATTGTTGGCCAGGCGGCAAAGCAGAATCAGACCCGTGTCGAGTGCCTCCTGGTCAATCAGCACCACCGTGCTCCGCCTCCTATGCAATATCACCGTCCCGCTCCTGGTCATGGCCATGCAATCAAAGTTGGCGTTTTCGATATAGCACCACTTGAGAAAGGTGTTTGACGTGAGCAGGTTGGGCTCGGCATCGTTGGGCACGCAATAAGTAATCTTTTCGTCGTCGTCCTGCCACTGGAATATGGTGCCATTGTCTCCGTCGAGATTATACAGCATGATGCGCATCTTGGTCCACAGGGCCCGGTTCCGGGGGCCCAGGGGCAGCGGCGCAATGAGATTGACGAGCCTGACATTCTCGGCCGGCGTCCCTGGCGTTTCTTCCATGCCCGACGAGAACAAGGAGGAGGAGGAGCGGCTCCGGAGCACCTCGGGGTACCACGAGTCCCCGGCTCTACATGGGGCGCGGTTCTGATAAGCGTCGCGGTCCGACTGGCTCATGGAAGCCCACCTCTGCATGAGCTTGCGTCTCTGCCGCACTTCAAAAGTGTCATCAGTGTCCCCTGGCCCACGGCCGACTGCATTCTCCTGGTTTGCCCAAAGGTTTTAGCGAGTTGTCATGGGTGTAAATGTTATGCAGTATAGCATGAGAGAAAACATGACTCGTCGGGGCGGGTATGAGGTTGGGGGAAATTGCCATGTTACTCTTTTCAACTCACCTTGAGGAAAAGCTGCCAACCTTTGATCTCGTTTCTCAAGGACCCACGGATGGGAGTTGGGTGGAATCGAACTTCGGAAGGGACGCCGCCCGGCCAGTATCTCGCCGGATCCGTCATTGGCGCGGCGGCTTCAGAATCTCATGTTTCGGTTAATTATTCTTTTTTTTTTCTCCTACTCTGGCTTTTCTTCTTCAGTATAGTCCTTGTGCCCTGGAATGCCAGATCCGGGCCGCCCTTCATTTAGTCTAGGTTGAGCCTGCTCCTAGGAATCGGGTTGTTGCCGCGTAATTTACTCCATAATAGCGGCCCAGTAAAGAGACCCACGCGGGAACCACTTAATAGTTGTCCAACTTGATCGCATTGGATGGAAAAAACTAAATATTGTTCACAGAGACTGAAAAATTGCTGCAAAAGTGTGCCTTCATCTCACATGCTTAGCCTCATCTGGCAAGCGTTGGGGATATATGTAGTTCTGCTGATCAAGTTGTTAGGTTGGGAGAAGGCGGTATCACAATACGGTGAACGAACGACATGGAAAATGTGTGTGGGTGCTTGGGTGGTGCAAGTCGCCTGCCACTCCTCCGGTCTCTTTCAAGTTTTGCATCACTTGTAATCACCTTCTGCGGCCTGCTGCTCTCATTCAAAATCGGGCCGAGGGACAGAGCATTGAGAATTTCCCTTATGCCCGTCAGCAGTGTTAGTTGTGAGGTAATTGGATCCTTCTTGCCTACATGCGCTGGAACACTTTATGTATTGTAGTTCCGACAATATTTGCGCCGAACATGCTGCGTCCGAGACCGACCGCGTTTGGACCTGGTCCATTCTCACCCGACCCGTGACCTTTCTGCTTTTGCCAGCACATCATAATCAATATAGCTCATAAACTGGATGGCCTTGCATGCTGAATTGAATATGCCTCTGTATGGACAGAACCGAGGCAGTTGTATTCGAAACGTAGGAGACGCCTTGGATGCTTCCAACACGGCGAACGTGCGCAACGGGCGGCGCCAAGTAAGGTGCTGGCCGGTCCGAGGCTGTATGCGTCTGATGAGGTAGCGCAGTGTGACTGACTCGAGTGGTAAGCTCGAGCTTTCGATGATCATCCGATGTCACTTGCGAGAAGCTGTTCATCCATTGCTGGCTGCAGGCTCTCCGGCCAACGCCAGGCTGCCCGTCGACATGTGTCGTCACATATCAACCTTGTCAAGTTGCGATTCTGAATACCGGGGTCAATTTCTGCGGGTGGGTGCGCATCTGGTCTATCAAGCTAGCTTGGCAGGCGAATTAGGAAATAGCGATAATACAGTTCAAGGGTGCAGGTGACACGACTTTGATCATATTGGAAGAAAGTTTGCAAGGAACCAGTAGTCTCTAGCACTATCTAGATCTACATTAGACAATGGTCTTTCTCTGTTTTCGATCTCTACTTTTGCAGTCTAGGCAGGAAATGCACTTTGGACGAGGCATAATGGTCAAACGGCACTTGGAAACGACAGTATTAGACGATCACAGTTGTGTATTTATTCTCAAAGAACTACGTCTTTCTAATGAAACACCCTCCCTCCACCTGATCCTCGATCGACACCCGTCCAAAATCTAGCACATGTTGTTTGCGTGAAACTGTTTGCCGAGAGGATTTGACCACAGACAATTGTCTTGTCTGCTAGTGATGCGATGAGGCGAAGCTAAGCTTCGAAAGATGTGGTTGTGGTTGGCTTATTTGCCGCAGCCGGAGCAGGAGCAGTTTCCAGAGCTGCAAGTGCCTGTGAAGGAGAGGGCGAAGTCAGTAAATCTGATGATTATAGTTGGTGGTTTTCTCTTTTGCTGCCATCGACTACCGCTGAATGGGAGGCGGGGTAGGTGTTGGCGGCGGGGTAAAGGCAGATAAGAAGAGGGAGGGGTTCAAGCTTACAGCTAGAGGAGCCAGAGCATCCGCAGTCACCCTTCATTTTGATGGTTTGGTTTGTGATTTGGGTTTGGGTTTGTGTGTATGTAAGTGTTGTAGACAGAAGTCTTGATCTTGTCAGATTGTTGTTTGATGTTGTGATTGTGAATGGTAATTGTTCGAGAGAAGAGTGGAAGTCCTGTCCCTTATATATCCAATGAGACCCTGAGTCGCAGCTGATTCCTTGGACTCCACAACGTCATGCTGTCCAATCAAAGTGCCGCCTTCTCTGCGCGGATTGTGCGTACTTTAGCGTGGATGCGCGGATTCCGCGTAGTTTAGCGCATTGATGCACTGCTTCCTCTGCGCCTTTTGTGCGTGAAAAGGTTACATCGGACGATTTCTTACAACAGTTACAATCAACTAATAATACAATGGAGGCAAATTGCCAGGTAGCTGTTCAAGACTACTGGCCCAGGTAGATATGCCGATTATGCCTGCCTTGGATGGTATTCAATGTTGTTGAAGTATTGTCAAGAACTCCTACCTAGTACCTGGAATTCAAATGCTATGCTTTCTGGACCCTTAAAAATTGAGATACTAATGCGCCAACAAGACAAAGCCAAGGGCACATGGCACTGGAGTTTAAGCCGTTACGCTTTAGCGTCATCGCTCCTGCCGTGTCTTTGCTCTTTGTCTTGTCTTTGAACCATAGGTACATACTTACTTGTGCGACGCTGGTGGCAACTATCTTGTGTCATCTCACTCGCAGTTCCTCAATGTGTATCATCTTGTCCAAGCGAGCCGAGCTCAAATGATCTGACGTATCCAAGATACATGCTCAGTACCAAGTAGCCTTATTAGCAAACGCCCGGGACTATCACCCGATCATGTACAATCAAGGTAATCTCTAATGATCGCCCGGACCGTCTGTAATGGATCATCATCTACGTACTGTGTATAACATCCCCACCTTATTGATTGAGTATAATCAATTTCAAAGAGCGTTTTCTTTGTTACTCTGCTTTTCTTGTGCTACACTGGCACACTGTCCATAATAGTTTGTCGCTCCTTCATGGCCGCCCACGCCACGCGCGCGTTTCTTGTGGCGTGGTTGTCAGCCAGTCAATCCGCTCTGCCTTCATCTCAGCTCTGGTTGTGACGCCATAGGGCGCTCCTGCCTGCCTGCCTGCCTGTGGCCAAGACCCCAAACATCACTGTAGATCATTTACTAGAAGTTTACCGGAAACGTCCATCTGATCAAAGGCTGAATTCTTATGGCATGTATCGCTATCTTCATTCAGTGTACGAATGCCCGATGAGAGCTACCTTGAATTTATGCTTGGTGCTTCTTATCGCACCGATTGAAAACCTCCACATTCATTCATCCTCTTATTCCCGACACAATGTATAATTGACGAGTACCTACCAAGAAATGCTACCAATCAAAGCCATCGATGAAGAAAGCGTTTCCAAGGACTGATTTCATGTATGTACAGCTCATACAGGCGAGTTGGCAATAGCTTTGCCAGCATTCGATGATTGTTCGACAGATTCCGGCCCCCATGCGACAGAAGCATCACATTGCAGATGCGTTGCTAATGGAGCAGGATTTCATTCGACAGAAGTAAACCTGCGCCCCCATGTTTCCATGCGAGTCGCCACAATAGCTATGCTCTCCAACATGTTCATGCAAAAGTGGGAGGGGTCCCTGCCTGCAATAGGTGAGCCGTTTGACTCTTTTTGCAACCCTCGCAACCTTCAACGTCTTATTCCTCTAGGCAACTGGCAATCGCAGTGGTGTTTGCCTCAGGCGACGGAACGGACATTGCTGTTGGCACGCTCTTCTCTGCATTTTCAGCGTTAAAATCCCAACATTGATCGGCTCAACGATTATTTACAAACTTGCGCGTGCGCAATGCGCTTTCTACCCGCCAGCCCGCTTGGATGTCTGAAACCACTATTCCAAGTTCCACCCGCCCGCCAGGACTACATACAAATCCTGGTCCCTCCACTTACTGATAACTTCGGCGGCAGTAAACGGCCTTCTCGGCTATCAGGCCTAGATCCGACGAAAATCGTTGCTCTTGGCTGCCAGCCAAGTCTCTAGCATCATCTAGCTGCTAGCTACTTTTTCTCCCTCAGTCTCGGATCCTACAGGCTTTATATAGGAACATGGATAAAGTGCTGACATAATGGTCTTGTTGGCTATAGTGTTCCACTCGCTTTTACAACAGGAACATGCCTGACATGATTTTCCAGGTCAGTCCTATCCTGACAACTTTTTTCAGTCGAGAACCCCACATTGGATAAGCTGCTGCTACTCGCTATCGATATCCTGGGCATCATTTCAGCTCTTCTTATTTGACCCTGTTCATCAACTTCGTGCTGTCGTCGTTTAGAGCGGGTCTCTGGATGACTTCAACCAGCTTGCAACGTCCAATTTTGTTCCGTTATAAAAAACAACACTAACATGACCAACTGCCGTATCCCACTCAACTTCACTAGGAATAGGGCTGATAGTTTCCCGGTGCTACACTGCTGTAGTGAAAAAGCATAGTACGCATCAGGAATATAATAAAGAAAAACAATGGTTCCATGCACATGAGGTGTTGGTGGTTTAGAGATGGGGCATCTATGCAGGCAAGCGGCTCAGCTCATGGATTATGACCTTTCACCTACGGCCTACAACCCGTCTACAGGCCTTCAAGCCGTGTGTCACGCGCGAGTTCCCCGGCACTGGTTCAGATCCTTCTGACTTTAGGCCCTGTCTATCGGTTCCTTCGTCAATTTCTGGGGGCCAAAATATCTCCAACAGAGGCAGTAGTTGGTTGGTACGTGCCGCTGGCGCGTTATTTTACCCGTCGCTGTGCGCCTGGTATTTGGATAACACATGGTTACACCTCCTTCTCCTGCAAAGCCGGCATTCTACACTTATTCATGCTTATGTTTGGTGCTGGCAATTATCTGACAAACGAAAGAATACTGAACATTTCTTCATCTTTCTCTGTCAATTTATAAACGTTTTTTTCATGGCCACCCGAGTTGAATCTCCATGAGCAGCTAGTCTAGGTGTCCGGATCGAGCGACTACGCGCTCATCGCTTAGACTGGCGGCCACCTTGAGCTCGTGTACAGGATCACGACCATGGCTCCCGCCTTCTTCCAAGACCCGGAAGAGGTCGTGTGCTTCTTTGTTGTTATCTTTGCGCCCATAATCGTGGCTGGATTAACTGCGCTCCGCTTCGTCGCCACTCGTCGTGCGCATCGCAGCCCTGGGCTCGAGGACTATATGGCTCTACTCGGCCTCGTCACCTTTGTGTTGTTTTGCCTTCTTTCCTTGGTCTGTAAGTAAAATCACGTTCCCGTTTACTGGGTTGATCAAAGGGCCCCGTGTCGATGCCGGCCAGCCTTTAGATCCCCGGAAATCATACCATAAAGGTCGACGCTGACTGAGTCATCTCTATACAGCAACGACCTATGGGGACGGGAGAGCGTACGACGTCGTCGCTGCAGAGGACCCAGAAAGATATGCAAGGTTCCAAAAGGTAAGCAAAACCGTCATCATCTGGACGCGGATAGCGCCGTCGCTTATTTTGAATAACCAATGTGCTAGTTGGTCTTTGGAGCCCTGATCGCTTTCCTGTTCAATAGCCTTTTTACCAAGCTGAGCATTCTGGCACTTTTGCATCGCATCTTTGGCATCAAGCAAGAATATGCCGTGGCCATCTACATTGTCGCAGCGTCGCAGATAGTCTGGCTTGTCGCCATGGTCATCTTGCAAGCGGTCCAGTGTCGACCGACTGCGAAATTCTGGAACGTCACTCTCGAGGGACATTGCATTCGCGAAAGCGTCGTCATCTTGATCTCGGAGATTCCCAACTCAGCGTCCGACCTGGTCGTTGTCTTTCTCGCCCTGTGCATGCTGCGACCCATCCAAGTGAGCAGCGCGGCCAAATGCAGGCTCAATATTTTGTTCAGTCTCGGTTCCATGTAAGTTGCTTGCTGGCCAGGAATCTTTCATTCTGACTGATACCTCACTGATTCACTTGCTAACGCATGGTTCACTGTTCAGAGTAGGTCTGCTAGGCTTCATCAAGATTGGAGTGACGTATAATTCGGCCAAAATATGTACACATTTCTCTTCCCCAAATCGTCTCGCGAGGGGACCTTGCTGATGCTCCATCTAGATGACTTTAGTCCCGTCGCGGTATTCTCAATGATACAAAGCATTCTGGCCATGTTTTGCTGCTGCGCACCGGCTTACAGCTCCATTCTACCAGAGAGGTTCTTTTCGCGCAAGTCGCCCTGGAGTTTTTCAAGCTTGCCCGATTGGAGGCGAGGACTTTCGGTACAGAGTAGTCAAACTCCACGCAACATGGACTACAATGGTGGAGGATCGGCGACAGACTTGGACCTTTTGGAAGCCCTTCATGAGCCTAGTAACGGCCAGTTTCAGGGTGAAGCATCGTACAAAGGCGACCATTCCACCAAAGTAAAAACGTCGCCAAGGCCTGACGTGTAAATCGGCAGCGTAGTCGATGTGAGATGAAAACAAGAAGTGCATTACACGAGAAAAATTGGGCTTGTCACGGAACCTGACATGGCGCCAAGGAGTTACCAATCTATGAATTATAACATTACAAGACAAATTACAACTACGGCGTCTTGCGAATAGACAAATGGGACGCGAAAAAGTCAAGATCAACACAGAAAATGGCCATGTCTTGGTTTCACTCCACCGTCAACTATGATGAGGCTGTCTACTCGGCATTCAACCGACAGCAACCAAAATGTCCATCGAGCCGAGGAATTTAGTGGGCCGCTTTATAAGACTGCATCTTTTCTACAATCCCCGACACAAATTCCGGATCCAGAGCAAACTCCGCAAAGTCGAGCGTGTTCCACTGAAGCCAGTCCTCGGCGCGAGCACCGCGACCGCGCAACAGACCGGCACCAATATCCCAGACCTGAGGGTCCCTCGACTCCCTTCTGAAAAAGACGGATGCGCCGCACGTGGCACAAAAGTCGCGATGGACACCGGGGGAGCTGCTGTAATGATGCAGCGCCGGGTGTGTCGCCGGGTCGAGCGGCGTGCCGTCTGGGTTACGAAAGTTAAACGCCGGTATGTAGGCCCACGAGTTGACCTCGTACCCCGTCACTTTGCGGCACGAGCGACAGGCGTCCAGCCCGGCCCAGTATCGGCGGCTGTCCTCCGCGAGCCACCATTTGCCGCGCCCGGTCATTGGTCCCGGGGTTTCGGGATCGGGTTTGGTAATATGGCACTGGAATGCGCCGCAGTGGCAACTAGCCTGCAGTGTATCGTCCTGACCGGGTTCCTGTGTCGACGATGTCGTCATCTCGGCCGCAAAATTGCGCCGCATGGCTTCCACGTCGACCATCTCGCTTCCACGTTGATCGCCATGGTGCTGGATTACATTGCCGACACCATTCTTCTCCGGCAGCCATATATAGCCGCCCCCGTCTTTGCTGTCGTTGGCGAACAATGCCTGACGGTCCTGTATCCCCTGAATTGGTCCTTCCAGCACACCTCCACAGAGAAACCACGCGCCCGTAGACCCGTGGCATAATACACTGCAGCCGCACCGCGGGCAAAAGACGCGGGTCAGCGACGCCGATGAGTTATAAGACGTCCACTTTGATACGTCGGGGAGCGGATTCCCAGGAACAGCAACATGAGTGGCAAACAGCTGAGCCGTCACCCTGCGGCACGAGTTGCAGCTGCAAATGGATGATCTGAGTGGCAATGCGCTGGTGGGAATGTCAATGGCAAAGGAAGCGAGGCCGCACTATAATATGTGTTAACAGGCACCTTTTCAGCGCAATAAGCCAGTCTGATGTGACTTCTTTTGGATACAAGATGAATATAATGTCTTGCAGAACCGCATTGAGAAATACATGTACTTGTGAGACAACCCAGCAAAAGTACCTTGGGAAAATAATACAAGAGATTGCTTACGTGACACTGAGCCTTGAGTGTCAAGGTCTCGCTCTGAGAATCTTCCACGCTTGTCATTGTATGATATGATATTTTTTTTCTCTCGTCAATGGGATGAAGTGGACAAGAAAAAGAGTTGGCACTGTCTTTGACCAAGGAATTTTGATGGATATTGGTGCATTCTTATCTTGGTCTACCCACGAGGACTCTCACTAATAATACTTGCCTCCAAATGTCAATTCCGTGTCACTTGCAAGGCGTAGGTAGTTAGAGTGGGGCAGCCAAGTAAGTACTGTGCATGTATGACGGAGCGGTACGCGTATGCCACCATGAAAAGTCCCAAGAGTTGCAGCCAATGTCGCTGTCGCTACACCGACAAATGCAAGAATGACTGCATTTTCTTCCCGCGTTTTGGATTAGAGCATACGTACGTCTCGACGCGCGCCCAGGTGGTATTGTGAGTTGGCGTGCATTTTCCGCGCCAATATCTGCCAAGACGGTGGCTGAAAGAATAACATGTCTCTATGCGAGTCTTGAGGGACAGTTTGATTGATGATTCTTGTTCCAGTCGACCATCCGCAAGTGCCCTCGCGATCAAGAATATTCAGTGACAAATGAGACGACCCCCCATGTTTTTGTTTTATTGTTGATGGTTGGGGCTTAGTTTATCCAACATGCTAGGAATTCCAGGCAAAGGGGCACGTGAATCCAGATAGAGGTCGAGATTTCAATTTGTACGAAATCAAACTCCGTATCTCTGAACTTGTACACAATCAGGACAACCCAATATCACTCCATCATATGACCTCCAAATCTTATCTAGGACAATGTCGCAAGCTGTCTACTCAGTTTGGCGAACCCGAGATATGTCCCCCGCGACGCCAGACAAGACTTGGAATAGTGCTTACATACAAGCCCACCTCCTTTCCCTCTTGAGCAGAGTTTAGAGCACCTCCAGACGCAAGTATTGTTGTAGAGCTGAAAAACTCTCAGCTTGGATCATTGTTTAAGAATACATGAGACGTGGTGCCGGTATTGTAAAGAAGGGGGCGTATTACACGACAGCGCACCATGACCTCGCAGGCAACGGTCGCTGTCATTGGCGCCGGTGAGACATGTTCTTCTACGATCTAACCCAAACTATTGATATCGCTGCTGCAACCAAGCAACGAGGTACTAACCCGGCGCATATTTCCCAGGGCCAACTGGGCTATCCATGCTCAAGACGCTACGCGAGGATGGCTTCAAGGTGACCTGTTTCGAGCGCCGAACCAAGGTCGGTGGCCTGTGGGCGTATACAGACGACAAGACCATGACTTCTGCGTATCGCAGTACGTACACACCTCTTTCAGGGTGACAATTATCAAAGTGGCGAAGAAAAGGTTGACGATTGAAAATGTAGCGACGGTCTCGAATTTGAGCAAATACTCTTGTGGCATGTCCGACTTTCCCATGCCCGACAGTGAGTACAGCAAACCCGAGTCTTGCATTTGCTGGCGTTGACCGTTTTCTGTTCGACAAGAATACCCCCATCACTTGAGCCATGCCGACTTTCAGGAGTACATGGAGTCGTATACACGACATTTTGACCTTTTCAAGGACATTGTGTTTGGAACCTTGCTCCAGAGCGTGAGACGGAACGGGGATGATACCAAGTGGCTTCTGGAGCTCAAGGAGAATGAAAATGTTCGGTACGAGGAGTTTGACAAGGTGGCACTCACTCATGGCTATCAAACCAAGGCAGTCATGCCAACACTGCCAGATGTCGAAAAGTTTCAGGGGACCGTCATTCACGCACAGCAATACAGATGGTAAGTAGGCATGCCCTTTTCTTGATCTACATTGTTTCACTAATTCCCATGATACGCAGTGCTCAAGACTTTGCAGGTAAAAATGTGGTCGTCCTAGGAATCGGCAGCACGGCTGGCGACATCATCGACGAGCTCTTGCCCGTGGCCTCTCAAGTCCACGTCTCCCACCGCCGAGGCATCGTCATTGTGCCGCGGTGGAACAAGGGCACGCCAGCCGACCTCGTCGTCAGCTGGCGCAAGCGTCAGATTGGCGCCTTTCTCCAGCGGTTTTGTCCGCGCCTGGCCAGATGGGCCGCTGGTGTTGGTATCGCCTTGCTCATGCGCCGGATCTGGGGAACGCTGGATCCGGCTTGGCGATTGGCGCCGTATCCATCTCAGTTGCTGTCGGTACCGACCTCCTCTGAAACCATTATTCCTGCGCTGAGGGATGGCTCGCTCACATCCCAGTGGGGATTAAATCGCTTCATCGGACCTCGATCGATAGAATTCGACAATGGAACAGTTCTCGACGACGTGGGCGCGGTGATATGCGCCACCGGATACGAAGCCGACTTCGACGTGGTCCCATTTCTCGAGAAGAGCAGACCCCGGAATTACGGCGGCGACGAGATTGCCAGGTTGTGGATGAACATGTTTCCTCCTTGCTACGCCGACTCCATGGCGTTGCTCTGCTACTCGGCTTTTGGAAAGAACAATGGCTTCTCCTTTTGCGATGTCCAGTCCATGGCTGTCAGTAACCTCTGGCGCGGCGTGTACCCGCTACCGAGCCGCAAGGACATGGAGAAGACGATTGACGCGCACCACGAGTGGGTGGCGTCGTGCTGGAGGCTGGATGACAAGGTCGACGTGTCCATGGTCAAGCAGTGGGAATACCAAGGTTGGCTTCACGAGGCGGCCGGTACGGGCATGGAAAATCTCGGCTGGGGTTGGAAAGGGTGGAAGTTTTGGTTCCGGGACCCCAAGATGTCGTACCTCATGAATAATGGCGTCGAAACGGCGCATGCTTTCCGGTACTTTAACACTGGCAAGCGGAAAACGTGGCCGGGGGCGAGGGATGCTATCATTCACATGAATGAATTGGCAAAGATATTTCCGCTCAAGGAAAAGAAAACCTAATAGCCAATATCTCCCACGGAAATACACATTGGTGATTCTAATAAACGCAGCACCTATGCTTTTTCGATACTCAACGGCCTATCCCCTCCAAGGTCGTCCAACCAAGTTTGCAAATCGTTTGTCACGCCTACAGCAACACTCTCCTCTATGATCTCATCCTGCCATGTACAAGAAATGATCAAACTGCCGCCCTTGACAGACATGGGATTGATGATGTACGCAGGACCATGGACTGAGGCGCTCTGTGTGAAAATAGCTTGGTCAATCGTCCATGACTCTTGCTCGACCAATTGTTTGTCAGTGGTTGTCGGGGCGCCGTCCAAGACGCCAAGATTACTGAGTTCAAAGGAAATATGCCGCGGCTTTGTAATGGCTTCATCAAAGTACTTCCTCCAGTCGGGCACGAACTTTAGCAGGGCCATCATGTCGTCCTTCATCCCCGACTCCATCTTGGCGTTGATTCCTTTGGTAAGCTCGCGGGCAATCCGCCACAAGCTTTGCTCTAGTTTATTGGCCGCTTCCGGATTACTGCTGCTGCTTTTGGCTCGGTCGCACTCGGCACGTACCTGTGCTAATAGCTCTATCGTGAACTTGTGCTGGTGATAGCCGAGATAGTTTCCCATGGTCCGGTGCGGCTCGAGGCCCTGATGATTGGGCGGCAAAGAGGTCATGAAGCGGCGCATATCAATGACCGTTCCTGATTCAAATGCGGGCGCTTGTTCTGGCTGCAGCCGCATGGAAAAGGATGCCAGAGCCAGCACATTCAGCAACACGGTGAGCGTGGTTCCATTTTGCTTGCATTTTAGCAATATTGCACGCAAACCGTCTGCGTCGGAGCTGACCAGTTGAAGACGCGTCTTGTTTGGTTGCCTTTTTATTGGCGCCCATTTAGGTTTGTATTGTGCTTCCGTGTTTAGAAACGATGGTCGGACATCCTTCCATAACTCGGACGTCATGAATTTTGCCGAGAGCTGGATGTTTACCAGGTCAGCCAATGTCGGGCTCACCTTGCTCGCCTCTGGGAGCTTCAGCTTATGGTCCTCCAATGGAATGACTGGTAGTTCAGAGGAAAAGAGGAGATTTAGTTTTTCTTGCAACGTCTGGTGGAATATCTTGCCACTCATCCCGTCAGCCATGGTGTGGTTCCAGACGAACAAAACATTGATGGATCTATTGGCAGAATCTCTAAGCAAGACGACTCTCCACAGAGGCTGCTGGTCGAGTTTTTCGAAAGGCTTGTCGTGTTGCTCATGCAAGACGCTCAATAGATCATCTTGAGTAGTTGAGGCGCCATCGACTGTCCGCCAAGTAACATGATTTCGAAAGTCGAGAAAATCGAGTCTCACAAATGACGGCTTCTTTGAGTCTTCGTTAATTAGGCCAACTTGCAGCATCGAATGTTCTAGGATGGTAAGTGCAAGAGCTTGCTCAAACACATCTTCCAGGGATGAAGACGCTTTTTCGGCAGTTAGGCGTGTTGGCGTTGTGTACCGACATGTCACGCAAGCCGCATAATACTGCCCTAGTAGATGCGCTGCAGCTTGGTATGCTTCCCTTGTTATGGTCAATATCGATCTTGCGATGGTCTCGAGAGGCGCGTGCACCTACTGAGGAGCGACGGGGCGGAGTATGGCTGACGGTTTGTCCGACCTTGAGGTGTTACCTCGGAACCAAGACATTGATGCTGTTGATTATGATTACGGACTGGAATGTTTACGTGACCCAAAGTGGAAAAATGATACAGAGAAAGAAATACGGCCATGTCCAAATAATTTCGTACATGTGTTGTTGAAGGATTCCTGCGCCGCATTATTCCTTCTCAGCATAACCTTACTCCAAGATCTGGACGCCCACAGGGGCTCGCGTTCCGCGGCTGCCGCGGAACGCGATTCTAGCTTATATAGTCAACTCTAAGGTTAGATTGTGTGCAGAACACGGCAGGCGATACTCCATTTTGCGTTTTCAGGCATTTGAAAGAGTTCGAATTATTATATCAGATCAAGTTTCCAAAAACATCCAAACTGCCGATCAATTGCCAAGGCATTAAAATGTTCAATTCCAATTTCTTGGCTCTCAAGTCATATACATACATGGTAGCGAATAGCGGCAATGGCAATACTTATAAGGCATGAACCTTGTGAACCTTAAATGCTTGGGCCAAGAGCATTGGAATACGAACACGCGGAAACAGTGACATGCGATGTGTGAATTTGTCAGCAGGCCATGGACGGTGCAATGATCATGCCGAGTGGTTTTCTTATACCCACCACCATGTAACAATATAATGTGAGGAGAACATCTCAGTCCTTCAGACAAGTATCAGATAGCCTCTGCCTTATAGAGCATTGTCTTCTCAACGACATTGGCAGCATCATGCTTATCCTTATTGTTGGAATAACGGGCAATTTGGGCCAGCGACTTGCCAAAGCCGCTCTAAGTCGTGGTCAACAAGTTCGCGGTCTCGGCCGAGATTCGACAAAGCTACCACCCGATCTCCATGCATCTTTGGAATCGTTTATCCCGAGTCACTCCTACTACGATATTCCGGCCATTGAGCGAGCCGTGGCGGGCGTGGATGCCGTCGTGTGCGCCTACTCGACCAACCCCGTGCTATATCTCGACGGGGCCTTGCTCCTCCTGCGCGCGGCCGAGCGTGCGCAGGTCGGCATCTTTGTGGCGCCGACCTGGACGAGCAACTGGACCAATATCCGATACGGCGATTTTGCCATTTACGATAGTCTGATTGCCTTTTCCAATCATGCAGCGTTGACGAGCTCGATTCGTCCTGTATACATCATCAACGGGTCCTTTGCAGAGTATCTTCTCGCCGAAGGCACGGGGAGTTTTGAGCAAGAGGGGGGAGTGGCTCGAGCATATTATTGGGGCGATATGAACAAGAGGAAGATCCCTTGGACGGCAATGGATGACGCGGCCGCTTGGACGATTGAGATTCTACTCAACGGCGAAGGCGTTCAAGAAGGGCGTGGAGGCGTGTTTCAGTTTCAGTCTGGGTACAACTCTCTAGAAGAACTGGTTGCCGTCTATGAAGAAGAACTAGGGGTTGAAGTTCAACTGGTTTGCAGAGGAAACACTCAAGACCTGGAGCAGAGACTTGCTTCGCTGGAGAAGGATGGGAGCAGGCAGCGCATTTCAGACCATACTTACTTGGCATGGAGTCGACTTGGACTGAAAGGCTGCTGGGACTTGCAAAACCCACTTCGATTCGACAATGCGAAGCAACCGACAACGTTTGCAGAACATGTCCGAAGCCGTCCCAAGAGAGTTTGAAAAGAGGGTTTCTACTCCATAACTGGAAAGGTATTCGTCCATTTCAGCTGGAACCACGTTGATTATCATTGGCAACAACAATCATGTGAAAAGTACACTGTTCTTCTTTAGTTGATTTACTTTAGTCGCAGCATGGTTGTCATGTTACGCGGTGGTGCCATGCTTGCAGACCTTGAGAAGTTGACCTTGCTCATTCCTCTGGGCACAGCAGGCAGTCTTGAAAGAAATGGCGACTTCAGTATGGTTACCGCAAGAACTGGCATGTATCTTGAACATATGCAAGGCTTGAAAATAAGTAAAATGGCCTCTCGCCGGTTGATAGAAAAAAAGAGACTATCATTGACATGCTGCAAAATCAACAGCCTAGTGTTTTGCAGTGAGGTATGAGCTTGAGAAGCTCCACTCCAAGGACATGTATGAGGTATGTGACTAATATACAAGTGATATATGCATGTGCCTTTACAAACGTCCTCTTTGATATGTGCCAGTGTCTGATACTATATTATACGGTAACGATTTCACTCTACATGGTAGGCATGTATGTAGTTTTGCTTGCACTGTCCCAGTCTCATGTTATGCAAAGTGACGCAGAATGCTATATTGATAAATATCAGCAGAGAGGTAAAACAAAAGAAAAAGTAAAACCAATGTTCTGCTGTTTAGTTCGTATTGTCCTAGCTTGTCAGCTCTGTGCTACGTATCACTGCATCTTCAAGGGTCCTGTACCTGTACCTGTGCCTGTACCTGTGCCTCTCCTCGGCTGCACTCAGTGCAGGTGGTTGGTTGCAGATTTTCCCACGCGGGTCGTCCGTCATAGGTCGTCTATCCGGGGAGTGGCGCTCACATCCGGGAGAGTGGCGCTAAAAACAAGTTCCAACGGCACGGACCCCACTAAAAAGTTCTACGCCGCCCTTTTTGTTCACTGGAGTCCTGGACACGCAGCAGCAGCTTGACAAGCGATTGCAACCAAAGGTGATATTCCCCACGTGTAGAATCTATACTAAGATCTACGTACAGAGTATACACGGATATGCACAGTACGTAGAGGGGAGCGGGAAATTTTTTAAGACGTCACGTCTCCTTATTTTTCTCTCTTTCACTCTCCGCCAATACTGGGTTGGGGGAATCTCTTGTCTTGCTAACCCCCCGTATTGCGTCACATCCGACGGCTAATGCAGAGCTGTTGTCGATCGCCGCTTCTTTGACGAGTCTGACTCGATCGGGAGCGACCTTACGTCAGTCTGATCAGGGGGGCTGAGGAGGTTTCTCTGGGTACAGTGTTTTCGAGTCGGCAAGCCAATTGGTGACCAGAAAGTCAGAGTAGGAAGAGTTGACAGGGGCAACGTTGTGGACGTTTCCGACCTTGAGCGACTGCGAAGGGCTAGTCAATGCCACAGCCTTGCAGACGCGGCTGTGTAGCTAGAAGAGGTCAGCCATCTTCTTTCCCCTGTGGCTTGTCGGGATAGGCAATTGTGAGGGCCGGCCCGCTGCCCTCTCGGTATCATGGCTTCACGGTCAGTGGCGCAATGCGCGCTGAGGGTGACACAAGCCCGGCTGGGAACTTCGCATTATTTGCTGTGGGCGGCGCAAATGCGCACATCGTCCCAATCAGTACGGGCAGCGTCATCTGGGTCTAGCAGGCGGTCAACGGTCGGGAAGTCTGTCGTCAGCAGCAGCAAAGCAAAACCTCTGCCATTCAAATCTCCCTCCGCCAAGACAAAAGCCGTTGCTCAATCATCAGCGCCCAAGACGTCGGATTCCTCCGCATCGACACCGGAGAACCATGGCAAGGACAGCGGTAGCAGCGGCAGTACAAGAGGTCATGCACCACCACCACCACCGCCACGCAAGTTCAGCATAGCGGAGCTGGTACGGACGCGCTGGATCGCCTTGTTCGGAGCCGGCGCCGCGGCGCTGTGCCTGGGCTCATTCACAGCGTCCTTTGTATGGCTCAACCTGCAGCCGGCGCCCGTGTACTGCACGGGGCACGAGCCCCAGGTGCCGACGGGCAGGCCGGGCATCCAGAGCCCGCTCGAGTTCGACCTGCACCTCGACAAGTCGGAGCACCGGTACGGCATCACCAAGCTGCGGCGCAAGCTGGGTGCCGAGGCCCGCGGCCACGTCCTCGAGGTTGCCGTCGGCACCGGCCGCAACCTCGAGTTTTACGACTGGGGCGCCCTGACCGCCCGTCTCGTCTCCCGCGGCGAGCGCAACCGCGACCTGCTCGAAAAGAGCGGTTGGGGCCGCTCCAACATGGCCGAAGTCCGAGAGGTCGACAGCTTTACCGGCGTGGACATAAGCGAGGACATGCTCGATATCGGTCTGCAGCGCCTGCGCACCGTTGTCCCGCACGGTCCCGAGATCCTCACCGCCAAGAATCCCTCATTCGCGGCGCTCGCACGGCCCGACGACGAGGCCGGCGGCCGTCCGTGCCTGGCCCTGCTGGACGGCAAGTTGCGGATCCTCAAGGGCGACGCGCAGGACGAGCTGCCTCGGCTCTCGCGCAAGGCGGCACCCGCCGTCAAGGATGGACGTTATGACACGGTCGTCCAGACGTTTGGCCTCTGCAGCGTGCGCGACCCGACGCGGCTGCTCGAGAACATGGCACGCGTCGTCCGGCCCGGCAGCGGCCGCATCATTTTGATCGAACACGGCAGGAGCTGGTGGGATCTGGTCAATGGCCTGCTGGACCGCAGTGCCTCTGGACATTTCGAGCGCTTCGGGTGCTGGTGGAACCGCGATATCGAGGCCATTGTCGAGGATGCGCAAAAGAAGATTCCGGCGCTCGAGGTTGTCGAGATGCACAGGCCCGGTTGGTTCAAGTTTGGCACGCACTTTTGGATCGAGCTGAGGGTGCGTGAGGACGCAAATACTAAAGAGCCGCCCACTGCGATCGAAAAGCCTGCACAAGAGGCCAAGGAGGGGAGCTGGTCCAAGTGGTGGGACGTGGGCTCGTCGATACTCACACCGAAATCCAAGTAATGAAAGAAGATAATACCAAGGACTTGAACACCCGTCTTCTGATAAACTGGATCCGATGTGCAGAAACATCATTTATGATCTTGTATCATAGTAGCCCGCGATATCATTCACAGTTCCAATAATACAGCTGGTGATTTAATTAAAAGTGGAATTTTCTTCTTGTTTTTCATCTTAGGGGAGAGCTTCACATGTTGCTGTGCACTCCTGGCTTTTGCTCATATCCGCCAGTCTTCTAGTGTTCTAGCCACCAGGTCATCTGGTTACGACCCAAATTCTATATGTACACGTCTTTTTGTGTCTACCCGAGTGACCCAGATCCGTTTTCCCCCTACGATATCCGTATAACTCTTGTGTTTTGGTATCATGATTTGGCCCAGTATTTTCATGTCCCTGCTGACATAAGAAGCTCTGACATTGTGACATTTGACACTCTGCATCCATCCGGACAACTTCCACTCCCATCTATATCGTCCCCAGCTGTTTGCTGCCAGGGAGATGTGCCGTGGGTCCACACGACAACGATTGTCCCTCTTTTGATAAGAACCAACCGCATTGAAATAGCAACCACCCATTTTTTCGAGGGATATTTGGTTTTGCGCCAACAACTCCTTTGCAACCCAATGAAAATAAAAGCAAATCAAAGTAAAGGTAAGGGCAAGGAGCACCGTGCGCCTCGCACTCTCAACGCCATCCACGTCGCATCGTACAAGATATTTTGGTTTGACGATTGAGGCGTCCTCAAAAGTCATCAAGAAGGCAATCAAGCTCATCAAGCTCAATGGTCTCGGGACTTCTGTCCCAGTCCAACATGGCGTCGAGCTTGGACCAGCCTTCTGCCTCGCCGTCTTTCTTTGCTGGCGTGGCCATGACTGGGCGCATAGCCGGGCTGGTCATGTATGCCATGTGTGGTAGCAGACTTGGGGCCAGGCTCAAACCTCTTGGTTCGCCAAACAAGGAGTCGTTCTGCATACCGTCGTACATGTCCAGGTGCTCGACAGGGTTGACGGACAACAAACTGCCGCTGAGTTTCCTCTTCTGCAGTCCGTCGGCGGTTTGTGTAAATTCCCTCTCGTCCTTCTCCAGCGGCGGCTCATCCTTCTGCTTTGACAGGATGGGCGCAGCTCGGTTGCGTGACAAGGACACGGAGCCCATAGGTGTGCCGGGCATCGGGACATCCTCCTCCATGTCGTCAAACTCGGGGGACGACAGGTCAACTTCGGGCGAGAGGCTCAACTCTCTTCTCCGGTCGCTGTCAGCGCTCTCGGCATCTTCGGACGTGGAGGTCGAGCTCGACAGGGAAGGCGTCGCAATGACACGCTGTGCCAATTGAGTCGACACATCGGGTAGGGGTTGATGAGGGCACACGGTAAGGTAAAAGTAGGTTCTTCTCGGGTGGACAGTCTCCAGCTCCTTGGCCAGTGGGCAAGGCGAAGAGGCAGACCAACACGAGCGCTTGAGGTAACCAGACAGACGAGATGAAATGATCGCACACGGGTTCGCAGATCTGTCAAGGTGGTAAGCGCACTATTCTGGTTGCGGTGTCTTGCAGTAGACTGGAGTTGCAGTCGAAACTTACTGTTGAACTATTTTGACCTGGTTCATCAGGATGGTGGCAAGTTCCTTGACCAAATGAGGGCGGTTCCTAGTCTCTTGCAGGCGCAAAATAACAGCCTCGACAATCTCGTCATTGATGGCAGAGAGATCAATCTTCTTCATCTCTGTCAGCGCCAATGATTCGGAGTCGTCGTCCTCGATGGACATGTGCAGGCCGGGCGACGGCGGTGGCGTCGTTTCAAAGCTGGTGAACTTGGTCGCTTTCGAGGATGCCGACTTGGACGATTTCTCGGAGTTGTCGTGCGATCGCTTGGCCTTCTTGCTAGGCCGGGTGCCGTCGTCTTCCGACGATGAGCTCGACCTCGGGGACTTGGGAGACATGCTGCCTGCTGTCTTGGTGTTGGTGGTTGAAGTGTTTGCTGTGGCTGACTTGGAGGCCTTGGATGTAGGAACGTGTATTCCAAGAGAGGATAGGGACAGCGATTTACGGCGAGTGTCGTAAGGCATGGTGAGGAGATGGTAGATAAATATATTTGAGTGTCGGGTCGGGTCGGGTCGTGTAATGAAAGAAAGAGAGAGAGAGAGAAAGTAGTGCTAGGTAACTTTTTTTTTTTTTTTCCCTTTCCTCTTCCTCGTGTAAGTGATGCAGGGCGGACGATCCCCTGTTTGTATGTATCAAATCCGTGGCACAGCTGCAGAAGGAAATAAAGCAGCGATCGAGTTTGATCTAGGCACGCCAACAGACAGACAATACACGCTTTTTGAATTCTTGTGATGATGATTCTGAGAGATAGTATGCTACAGCAATAACAACAAACAAAAACAACGACCCGATGGGAAGTATTAGTGCAAGGGTTGGTAGGTTGATGGGGAGCGGGAAAGGCGGTGGCAAGAGAGATGCAATACAGGCAATGAATTGAAGTGAAGGGGGGGGATGGTTGTGTTGAATGGGGACGGGACAGTATGTTGATGGGACGGGATGGAGGGATAGAATACAGTATGTACAAGCATATGATGACAAGACACGGACTTTTCTTCTTTTCTTCTCTTTGGATGATGGGGAAGAAAGAAAAAAAAAAGTGCAGACGTAGAATGAGGGAAGGGACAGGAACGAATACTAGAGGCGGCGGCGGCGTAGGACCTAGTACCTACACTACCTCTACGCTACTACGTCTTGGACTCTTAGACGAAGGGAAGAGGGAAAAAAAAAAGGGTGCCAAAAGTTGAACAGTGCGCAGATGTGAGTGACGAATAGCAGCGAGGCAATATGGGAGGCAGCAGAGAAAAGCACTTCCAAGTCGAGTAGCCCCGTAACCTAGTGTCATAGTTGAACGAGACCCTGGCTAATATCTTAGCTCTATGGGTCGAGTATGATCTGTACCGTGGGTTCGTGGTGGCAGTACGTACTGGATTAATTCATTCATTCCCAGGGTATGTAGTGCATCGGGTCCATTCTATCGTGGAGGTAGTACTATAACATGGTAAAGCAGCAAAGCATGTGGTCCCTGCTGCCAATACATCCGATAAAACTAGAAAGAAAACCGAGAAAAGAAGATTTGTTCTTCGTCGTCTTCTTCTTGTTAGCATTCTCAAAGGAAAAACATGTCGATGGCGCCTAGTGTAACATGAGACCAAGGGAAAGGGGTAGGACAGCAAAAAAAGAGAAGAAGGCGCCTGATGAAAGCCAACAAAACAGGACAACGACGTCAGGGATGTGTCAAGGCTGCGGCAGCTGCGCTGAGAAGACACACACGCCGAAATATTCTACACCATTACCCATCTCTGCTAGCTCTACGATGAACGTCACTGTACACTCAAGAAGGAAATGCACTGTACATTGGCTTGGGTTGGGCGCCGGAGTGATCGACGGTAGGAGGGAAAAAAAAAAATAAAAAATAAAAAAGTCACATAGACGAGAAGACAGGGAAGAGAAAAAAAATTTCTGGGCTCTGGTGTCGGTAATGCGGAATGAAAAGTGACATTTGTCTAGGCTCAATTCTTGGCCCCACGGGAGGTACCCGGAGCATGGCAGCGTTGCACGGTTGCAGGGACCAGGGTGGACTTGGAGAAAAGGCTGGGCTCCGTCGCAAGACCACTGATTGGCTTGTGCTCTCCGGCGGCGCGGTCCAAGTGGTCGACTCTGTGTTTTAGGGGTCTTCCGTTTTTTCCCCTCTGTCTCTGCCCGTCAGAGCTCTTTTTTAGCAGCTAACGCTGAACCCGCCACTTTTGTACGTAAGTGATCCAGTTGAGTTGTTTTTTTCATTACATACCAATTGTCATTCTTTGCCTTTGTTCTTGCCTAGTATCGGCTCGACACTGACTGGGCGTCGGGGGGCGCATGAGGGGGCACTTGCGCCGGTTTATGGGACTTGTCCTCGCAGATAATGACCGTAATGACCGTTGTGTTGCCGAGGAAGTGTGCCCCAGTCAATTAATGTGATGAATAATAAACACCATAAAAAGGAAGAGACTCGGAAAGTGACGGTGAATGCATGAATGATATCACAGTCGACCAAGAAGGCCTGGTTGGGAGATCAATTGCAAAAAAAAGGACCCTCGTTCGCATACAAGAGACATGATGGACTTGAAAAAGCGGTAAGAAATGTTATGAGGTAGCATCAGATATAGAATGTGCATCGCAAGGACAAGCAGACACACATCCGCAGCCTGCATTTGCAGTAGCAACCCAAGCAACCAGAGCCTGACAGCCATTGGAATCGATTACCTACTGCACCACCCTTGAATGGGCATCTTGTGTTTCTGCATCCTGCATTCTGCATTTATTACATGCACCATCTTGCGATCCTGGCGTTCGGCTGCAAGCTCTGATCTCTTCCCCAAAGCAGTTCCATCATCGTTGTGATTGGCCGACACTGAACAGAACATGGAACACAGACAAGCTGGGGCGGGAAACGCTGGCACAGCATCGAACGACATGGGCAAGATGGGGTGCAAGGGTTGAAGCTAGGGCCAAGGCGACGAGGATGGGCAAGCAAGAGATGGGCAACCAGAAGGAAAGAAGAAAAATTCTGGCAGAAAAAAATTTCTGGGCTCTTGTCGTCAGCCTCGCACTTGACCCCCAAAGGGTAGGATGCTCCGGGGAACATAAGCAAGGGTGCACAGTGCGTGGGCTGCATGCAGTAACAAACAGGAAGAAAAATCGGAAAATACCTGGCAACTCTGCTCGTGACCAGAAATGAACCTGCGACCCTTTCCAACCCTACCTAGAGAAAAGAAAGAAGAAGGGCAAGCAGAAGAAGAAAAAAAACTCTTCCAGTGCACAAGTCCACTTGGGACCCGGCGGCGGCGGCAGTCGACGAATGATTGTGGATACATTGCCTTTGACGAGTATTTTTGCTACTGAATAATTGCGGAGCAAGTACGATGCCCCCCTCGCAACCGAAAAAAAAAAAGTCGCGCCAGACTCCCCAATGCCTAGCGACCGACCAGCGTTGGTTCCTGCACCAACCATCAGCTGTTGCTTCGGTGAGGTTTCATACTATCCTGGGGGTCCTTTCATGGTGCGTTACTCAATCTTTGGTATTTTGCAGAGAAGGGTTCTCACAAAGGGCTCTCAGAAGAAGAAAACATAAACAGATACCCCGAGCGAGGGTTTGTACCGCACTTCATCACCCGCCACGTTCATGTTCATATAGTGCTCATGCTCTTCGTCTGCCTATCGTCGCATTTCTTTTCCAGCCGTCAACCAGAGGCTGCTCACCCGCACTTCTCATCATAGGTGGTAGTAATGTCGTCCGTCTCTCACCCACACGCAAGCTTCATAGCAAACATCCCATTTCATCCATAATCCATGATCCATCTCATTGCCTGGTTTAGAACCCCCCCTCATACCCCACTGACTGGTTGCCTTTGGTCACCTCCGGATGTGGTGCAACACGACTCGTCAGCCGAAAGTTTCTGAGCTACCTGCTGCCAACATGATGCCACAAAGTTCATACCTGCCTGTTGCCTGGGCTCCAAGAGTCACCGATGAGTCTGACAACCCGAGGACCCCCAGGCACAGTAGGTCGGTATGTAGGTAGTCATCTGCATCTCTGGCTGGCAACAAGCAGTGCAGCTCAACTCCAGATGTCCATCCCTGACTTTCCCCAGCCCAGCCCAGCTATGCACGCACCAAATCTTGACCTTTGCGCGGTTGCACGACCCCAGATGATTATACCTATCCATGCCTTTGTCCCCCATCCATCCATACGAATTCCATCTATTGCTGCTTATTATAATTGATTGTAATGGCGTTATCAGAAAAATGTGTCACCCACCAGCCTTCCGATATCACTTTGATGTGATACATGCACCCAGCAAAAAAAGTATGACTGCATGGATGCATTCTCTCTTCTCTAAGGTTACTAGGTTCCATTGTTACTCCAATGCGGCCACCGCCCAAATCTTGAAATCTTACTGCCAAAGAGCCACCATGATTATTATTCTCGGCAGATGATAGCAGTTATCATCCAACCCGTCGTACGACGACAAATTGACTGATTCAAGCACTATTATGAGCAGCACCACCACCACCACCATGATAAAGGGACAACCTCGCCCTCAACTCTCCACGGCATCATTACATACACTACATTCTGTCGATTGGCACCAAAAGCTTCGATGACACTCACACTTTCTTCTGTGACTTTTCCATTTCCAGCAAAGACGTTCCCTCCGGGAGGAATGCCGCGGGCCTGTAGCTAGACTTGAAGCGCCCTAGCCAAGTGCTAATCCTCGAATATGCTCCGGCACTATGACCGACTTGGGCCATTCTCTCTTTCTCTCTACGTCTTCTTCTTCTTCTTTTCCTTATCCCTCGTTGCAGTGCCACCCGGCAGACATGAAAATGGGCGACATGGGCTCCACTCGTGCGTCCCGCCGTCCCCGTCTAGGCCCCTTGGGCTTCGTCTTGCAGTAGTAGAAGAAGAAGCTGTGCCTGCGACCTCCTTGGCGTGCATACTCCGGACTGCATGACGTTTGAACCTTTTTTTCTTCCCACCAGCCCATGTTCGACTTGTTTGCGACCGACCAAAAGCTGCTGCTCACGCGAGGAACATGGACAAAACAGGCCATTGGTGTTTTGCGCGCATCCTCTTATTGGACTGGCTTCCCTGCTGGAATCCCGACTTGCATGCCATGCCCACCCCAAACTCCCATCTAAGGGGTAAGGGAAAATAAGCTGAGGGTTACAATATCCCCCGAGACCACCTCTTCAGATCTATGGATGTGTGTTTGCATTATCACCCCCAGCAACCAATGAACTCTTCTTGTTCTGGAACTTCTGTCTGCATTGTCGCAATCCTCCCGCCCCGAGAAGCTGGATATCTCTGCCCGCATCACAACCTGGCCCACCATGCATTTCCCATCTCAGATCGAATTCGGTAAATAAGTGAGAAACCGAATACACATCAGGGACCTAGACCATAGGGGAGTATACACTCACAATGACAACTGACGCCGCCAAGGAAACAAAATTGCTTCGACATGGTTCAGAGTTGTGCAGACAGATAATTCTCTTTTCATTCACCAAACTATGGAAATACGACAATTCTAGGCATTCTGCGCCCCTGGCAACTTGCATATTAACTAACCACCTGTGTGAAAAGATGTTGCTTGGATACCGGGGTTCGTTTTTTTCTCTCGTCCCGACGCCGTGAGACATGGCATTTCATCCCAAAACGAAATGGGAATTCCACCCATTCAATCTTTTTTTTTTTAAACTTTTAGGTCGCAGGGAGTGGCAGAACCAACTCCACGTCCGGCATTATTTCACAAAACCTTGAAAGCATCATCCCCCAGCGCGAATGTGGCGCGCTCCGAAAAGGACCGGCACATGTCACTATATTGGCCGGTCCTTCGGGAGCTTTGTAGAGTCGGGAGTGTTATGATGCGGGCAGTTTAATGAGTGTTCTCGTGGGTATGTATACACTTTGAGCGAATTCAGCCTTAAAAACCGGTCCAAAAACCTCTCAAGGGTGGTTTGCCGCGTCCAACAATGGTACAGAGCATGATCTATCAAATGGTTCCATTCAAACAAACACCACAGCAAGCACGGTCGGCTCCCAATCACGCAGATATACAAGGTACTCGAAGCAATCAATTGATCATCTTTCTATTTTTATTTTCATTTTCATTTCCAGTCTATACTGCCGCAAGATCCGGGGAGAGTGCCAATTTTACCCACTTTTACAACACGTTTGAAAAAAAGTCCATGGTAATCGGATGGCGGAAAAGACCCAAAGATGCAACAGACATCCCAACGAGTCAGTCGAATGAGGTTATACTGAAATTGATTCGCTCATTGGATGCAAGACTCCACTCGCACAACTCTGATCTGACATGCATCTCGTCGCAACCGGCAATAAACTAGTGGGATAGACTTTGTGTCTTCTCCGATTTCCTCTTCTTCTTTCAAGAGGATAAGGCCATTGAAACTCAAAATGATGGCATTTTCTCCAAATTGGATTGAACCCCCCCCAGTCAGACTTTCTCTTGACGGGGGAAAAAAAACAAGTTACATCATATAAGTCCGTGGGCCAGATTTCCCATCCTTTGCGATACGTACGGCCAAGGCCAAAAAGAGAACTCGGCGCCGGCTCTCGCGAGGAAAAAGGGAAATAGAAAATAGGCTACGGGACTTTTGATCCCATACGATTAGACAAGACGTCCGAGTCAAGGTCAAATATTGACGCTTTTTCGTCCTGCCAACCAGGGTATACTTTGGACTTGTATCTTTCGTTTTGTCCAGACTTGGTAATCGGATCTAATCTTGGTGGATGGGTGATGAAAGTACCGCGCCGTTGATAGCTTTTGTGTTCTTAGTCATCGATCTATAGACAAACAATTATTTACAATGAATTGCCAGTTATAATACTTCTTCGTGTATACAGAGAAATATTATCGGAATGATCGTCTTGATTCATAGCTCATGGAGACAGGAACAATACTTTTCTCGAAGCAGTTGGATTGCACAAGCCCACGGCAACATCGAACACAGGTTTTACAAACTCTTATTGTCTTGTCGGAGAAGTCTTTCTATCTCCATGTCATAAGAATCAAGACAGTTTATTTCATTGCTTATATTGATTTTTATCCTCTTGTCTAATCTAGATGACCATGTCATGTATCGTTGGATGCAATGTGTCAAAGCAATAAAACGCTATGCTACATGCCTTTTGATATTTTCAGTTCGGCCAACTCTCTCACTTTTCGGGCCCGCTTACAAAGAAAATAATCTTCTTGTCCCATTTTGCACCATGAGCCATGGTTCCGTCCCAGAACAATACGTCGTATTTTTTTGGAGGATAAGGGTAAGCTTTGTAACGTTGGTCTTCACCCCATGGCTGCGGTACTGCCGACCCCGATGATCCCAATTGGAGAATCCTCGCCTCCTGCGATGCACAGTCGCTCAGCCACATCGGCTCCTTGCAATACTTGTCAAGGCTGTATTTCATCGTAGTCTCGACGAAGCAGGGCTTTCCTTCCAACCGGGACTCGCACCAAAGAGACCAATACCGGCGCCAGACTTGCGAATAGGCGTACTTGGACCGCCACCCTCGATCGGGGGTGTATCGGTTCTAGGAACATTGGCCGCCAAGTTGCCTTGCTTGGAAGGCGGCTTGAAGTTCATAGCGAACCCCTTCTGATATATCTCCATGAGTACCGATGTGAAAACACCTGCATCGGTGAACTCCTGGTACTTTCTGTACAATCGAAGAGCCGTTCTTGCATCTTCAATCGAATCGTGAGTCTCTAGCTGAATGTCTTCCTTGAGAAGAAACCAAGCAAGAAACTGTAGACTCAGCTTTCTCTTCTTAGCTGGCTCAAAGAATAAATCGCTAGTATCAATGATCTGATCGCGCGGGACGTGTATATTGATCACACGGAAATCCTGCTTGAGGCCGTGGCCGAGAAATTTGCACCCTAGGTTCAAAAGTATCCACATCTTCTTGTAGACAATCTTCAATGGAACGAGAGTATGCTTCGTCCGCTTTGGATCCAGATCCTCTGGCACAATTCCTGAATAGGCCGTTAGATAGTCGACAACTGGGTCTTTGATGTGGACGTAGTCGTCAATAAACGGTACGCCCTCGTGCAGGCCATTTCCACGCAGGACTGATGTTCTTGCTAATGCATGCACCGTTGGTCGGATCGTCCTCTCATCACCGTCGGAAGTTATCTCGATTTCGGCGCTCGAGGTTGATACAAACTCAGTGTCAATAGCAATGATTGTATCTGTTGTCACCTTTTCTGTGCCTTCATCCAAGGTTCGATATGTCTTCTCAGAGACGTCCGGTCTAGAGAAAATATTAGTGATAGGCGCTCTGACGTTAAGAGGAATGACGTACTTCATATCATGGTAGAGTAGACTCGCGTCCAACTTTTCTTTCCAGCTATGGTCAATGTGGTTGTTGAAGTCTTTCAGCTGGAATGTAAGGATTGAAGGCAATTTCCACGAAGAGTTAAAGGCCAGAGCTTCTTCGCGCGTCACCGGAACTACGTGAAAGTCGTTGAAGAGATGCCATTGATTCTTGGCAGGCGCGATTTCTGCGGAATGAGCGACTAAATTGCAAATCAGTATAGTCCTGGGAGCGGGGCGGTTGTAGGAATGATGGTCACATACCGTTTGCCACTGTGACGAGATGTGAGTCCTTCAGACCAGTGTCAATGTCTACAGCTAGGGCTGCGAGAGAATACACCTTCATACGATGTTGCAGCTGGCCGCGTTGCTGTCTATCCAACAATGACTTCAACTCTTCGCCCTCGTAACAGAAGAAATCACCATTGTTAGTGATGATAACTCCTATTTCATCTGGCAGCCATCCCGGAGTAGCCCAGAGCCTCCGTGCCTCGTCATTGAGATTGTGCGCAAGGAGCGTGAGCACGATAGGCATCTCATGAGTGACCCGCCTACTACTTAGCATCTTGTACCCCCGGCAGTTGTGGCAAAAGCCCTTGGCGTTCTGGTCCTTCTCAATGCTCTTCTTAAGAATCTGGGAGAATGTGACCCGAGCACTCTTTGCGTGCCGTGATCCGGGCTTCTAATTCGTCAACGTTAGTGAAATAGACTTGAATCAGTTGCTCGTACTTACACTGGGCGAGCTGTAGTTCAACTCGTGAAAGTATGACGGCGCTGACTTGCTCACTTCTACGCCGCAAACGTGACATCTGATGTTGGTTGTTGTGTCTGTCTTGAGAAGCTGTTTTGGAGTTAGCCAATTGTTCTAGTAGAGTCTAGGACATTGTCTTACCGTGTTCATGGCGTCTGAATGCTCCATTCTGTAATGGTCGGCAACGATCTGAGGCAAGAAGAAGCGAGCGAATTGCTGCAACATCATGGATCGCGATGGATGATGCGGGTGATTATCCAGTAAGCCCAGATTGGCAGCTTGAGTCCTGTCAATACAGGATTCAACCAGTGCATGATTCAGTAAGCCTTCTTACCTTGCGGAAAGTAACTGACAACCTTCAAGAGGTTCGAAGCATGGCAAGGAGCGGCGCCTGCTTTTGAAAGCATGTCGAACAAGAAGCCCAGCTCGCACAAAAGACAGGTATCGTCGAAACAGCGAGAAGCCGTGTGGTGAAGAGCTACATTCCGTAGAGCGGGCGTGAAAAACATGGTCTGCAGAAAGGCATTTGCATAGCAATGCGCAATATGGTTCTGCAAACCGGCATACGCTGTCTTGTTGTAAAATCTGAACCAGTTAGCTGTCATGACCCATGCCAGATGGGTGTAGTCCTTACCCAAAATCAAAATCATCAATGCCGAATTTGCTATACTGTATGTCGATACTTTGGTATAACTCGGGTACGCTAACTTTGTGGCTTTCCAATGCTCGGTTGTTGGTAATCTCTGAGAGAGGATCGTTGGGTACTTCTTCAGGTGCTGGTGTGCCTGCCGGCGAGTGTGCAATGTCACGAGCTTGCTCGCTGAGGAATCTCGGCTTGTTGATGAGGCCAAATTCTTTCGTGTTTTGCAATCTTCGGGTATCCTCGATCTGGTTTCGGCGCAGGCCCCTTGTATTCTTGCCATAATAACCCCAGTCTCTACGTTGTAAGGTTGTCATGAAAGCGGGCTCGTCTCTTGGGGGTGCTGCACCAACTTCATATACCGCCTCCGACGGCCATGCCGACAGCAGAACCTCCCTATAATAGGGCATTCCGACTGTGCTCAATGGTCTGCCCTCAAGTCAGTAAAATGTCACGAAGAAAGCTACTGCATTATACATGTCGACATACGTTTTATCATCCCAGTCCACATCCGGGGTTGGCGTTTCAGGATCAGCCCATTCAATTGGCGTAGGGACTTCAGCAAAGTGCATCTTGGAGGGAGCACCCCAGAGGTGAATGTTGCATTCCTTATCGGCCAGAGCCATACCTTCTCCCGACGGCGCTATATCAAATGCAGATGGGAATACCAACAGGCCCGTCTGCCGAACATTGGTTGAATTCGGGTTCATCAAATCCACGACGTGGATCTGGCCATGCTGAGATACAACGATGCTGGTTGTAGACATGCGCGGGTGCATGCGCACATAAGCACCACCAGCCGGGAACGGGACTGGGTTCATGGAAACCATATTCTTAAGATCGAAGACATTAACAAAGAGGTCACACATGTATTGTGGTTGCGCATAACCGGAGCGCAAGGTAAGGCCACAGGTCACGATGAAGTCGTGCTGGGCATCCATGTCGTGGACAATCCCGGCATGAGGAGCCCAAGTCTTCATGACTCTGAAGCTCAGAGGATCCAAAATATGGACCGCCGAACCAGTGGTGGCGGCGCAAATATACCGACTCCGCCTCATGATCTTGTAGTGGGCGTCAGCGGGGATGACCTTGACGACTTCGCCCTTGTTCACGTCAATGACAAGCATCTTGTCCTGCTCGCCGGCAACAATGATCTCGGCGGTGCCTTTGGAGGTAAATGTCATGCATCGCAAGTCTTTCATAGCCTCGTGTCGAATGTTCCATAGTGGCGGACCGCGTCGCATGGCCATGTGGACGCTACGCGAACCGAGGGCAATGACGCCCTTGTCGTTGAATAGCAGCTGGTGAATTTTGCCATCTTGGGAGCTGTGGGCCTTGAACGAAGTATATTGGTTGAGAATACTCGTCCCGTAGAATGAAGTCACCCTGCCATACTCGTTGCCCGCCCAGAGTAATTCCTGGCTCGTATCGAAAGCGAGTGTCGTTACCGGTGTGTGGTGTGCTCTAAGCCCCGGCGGAGGGAGAGGTGTCTGGGAAACCTGAAGAGGGGGTCGACCTCGTCAGCACTGATCTCGGTCTGGTTATGTCGATGTGGAAGATTGGTATGAAGGAGGGAGGGGGTGGCAGCGCGTAGAGCAGAAAACACATCTCGAAGAGCAAAGCTTAATCGCAAGCTGCACCATCTGTGATTACGCGTGCTTCAAGCACTCACCTCGGCCCAGTCTGCATCCATTGTGAGCTACTCTCATGATCGCACGACCTTGGAAATGCAGTAAGAAATGCAGCTGCTGGCATCAGAGAGTAGGGAGAGTTGGCGCCGCAATGGCGAAATGTTGCTGGTTTTGGTCGCGTCCGTTCAACGGCGCCTCTGGTGTTGTAAGAAGCTTTGTCAGGCTCTAGTAGGGTCTCTTCTAGGGACCGCCTTACACTAGTAGGTAATGTTAGAGGGAGCAACGTTCTCAAGGCTGGGAAGGGCAGCAGCCTGATCCTTGGTTGCAGTGGGGGTTTTCGGCGGGGCATTTGCAAGTGGTGCACAGACCATAAGTACCCATAGTACAAACTGTTGATACTCAGGTGTACTTTAGCGTTCACTCTTACTTTGAGGGTTCAGATTACAATTATATCTAAGAATGGTGACAAAATTAAGCATAATTGTCTCCAATATACCTGCGAATAGACGGCATTTCAACCTTTTCTTCCTCCCTGAAATCAACAGCCTCCGAAACGCTATATTCAGGTGGCATATTTATAAGTAGCTGCTTTGTGACATGTGCAACCTGATGAAAGGATATTTTGCATTTACCTATTATTCATTACAGACTGTGATGACCGGGGGTTATCCACCGCGTCAACAAATCAACTGCTGGTTTGTTCCAGTCAAAAACCATTGCAGCTGGTATATGGTCCGGGTTCCCTAAGGAGAAATTCAAGTCCTCAGGTTTCTGCAGCTATAAGTGCCATGAACACTATGTATCCACCAAGTGTAATTAAACATGTAACGAGGTCCGTATTCTATTTACCCTGAGGAATTTGAATCAGAGTCTGAAATGACGTTGGGGGATTGAAGAAACACGGGTCTGCTTGTGTCTAAGTGTAGATCTCTGACGGCGATTGCTATCTGCAATTGGTCTGTCATTTGTTTTCTTGGTATGAAGTCTCCGGTGGACACAATATTGATAGTCAAGACCTGAGAAGTGACGCGTACAATACAAGAAGACTAATTGGGGTTTTCTTCGAAAGGCCAGCACCAAAGATCTAGAAACCATTCGTTGCGTTTCGTTTCGTCTTTCTTTAACATTTTCTGAAATCTGTAAAGCCCTCACATATTATATATGTGTATCATTAAAGTAAAAACACAAGAAGAAAATACGGGAATACTAGAAGGAACCCAACTGGAAACTCGTTTTGCGAGGAGTAGTAATATATCCTCTCCATCATATTTTATTATCAAACATTATTGCGTGTCAATTTTGTAAATGTATTATTGTATTTATCGCATTCGAGGTTCTGCAGTAGTGTCATTACATTTGAATGATAACTATATGTTACCCTGAATCTTTAATTCAATGAATTCGATCAACATGAATATGTTACTAAATCAGGCTTCAAACTTGGAATAATCCCCCTGTACAAAACTCTTGATATGGCCATTAACCATGGTCTTCATTGTCAGAATAGTCTTGGTAGACAGGTATCCCACATGCGGAGAAAAGATGATATTCAAATCCCGCGTATCCTCGGCCAGCAGGGCACTTTCCTCGGCACTGCTGGCGGGCTCCTGGTCAAACACATCGACAGCGACGCCCGAGATGCGCCGGGCCCGCAGCGCGGCCACCACGGCCGCATTGTTCATGATGCCGCCCCGGGACACGTTGATGATGACGGCCTCGGGCCGCATCGCGCCGAGCTCGGCCGCGTCAATCATGTGGCGCGACGCCTCGGTAAAGGTGCAGCACAGCACCACGACGGTGGCGGTCCTGATGACTTGGTCAAAGGGGACGCGGTCGATAGCGGCGCCGTCGTCGCCGTGGCTGCTAGGGATCTTGCGGGTCTCGAGAGCCCCCTTTCTCTCCGAGATGAGCACCTCCATCCCCAGTGCTTTGCAAAAGGTGGCGAGGCGCTTCCCTAGATACCATTATGTTAGTTCTTTGCGAACAAATGTCATTTCCTAGCGGTTTTTGGTTGCCCTACCGATGCTGCCGTATCCAATGATACCCACGACTTCCTGCTCAATGGAACACGGCGCCTGGCCATTGGCTAGCTGCATCTTGTACGCGATACTGCCCTCTCGTTTCCACGAGTTCTTGTTTTCCTCGTCCACGTTTCGGACTTCATTGTGAAATATCACAGTTTTCCGTCTGGTGGCAAAGTACTGTCATTTCCCGTCAATCTCAATGCAGCGAAAGAAAACACCACAGTACTCTCAACGAAGACTCTTGCTCGTTGCAGCAAGTCAGGAAGCCTTACCATGCTCAGCGCGTGCTCTGCAACGGCCGGAGAGGTCGAGCCTTCACACCTGGCCACCTTGATGCCGCGGCGCCGACACTCGTCTACATCTATATGATTTGTGCCAGCAGTAGGCGTGATGACGCATTTTCTGAACAACAAAAAGGGACATGTCAGCCTGTTTTGAATACTTCTTTCTCCCGGTTCACCATCTCCGGCCTACTGTGACGGGCGATGAAGGAAACCACGGGGATCTCACAAATAAGGCGCCTCGCCCAAGCTGTCGGCGTTGATGCGGCACTGTGTGGCAATGACGATACTGGCGCATTGAATGCGTTCGCGGACCTGGTCCGGCGCCGTGATGCGGTGATACGAAATGAGCTCGTGCGACTTGGGCGCCGTGTCGATGTCCTCGAACGTCAGGTGCACGCCCTCTAGCAGCACAATCACCTCGTGGTTTGCTGACGGCAGCTGTTGCGGCCGCCTGATGGGTTCCTCTGATGCCATTGCTTTCGAGCCCGTCATGGCAATGGTCAGATCAGATCATCAAAGGTGCAGGCAGCGGCTGCGAATAGTGCAATCCTTCTTTTCGAGAATTAGTCAGGACGGTGAAGTAAAGTAATCAACAAGAATCAAGAAGCCTACCTGTTATATTTATGCGGATTTGCAAGGTAACGAATAGGTAAGTTGGTGCCGGTCTAAAGACGATGCGTGTCAGATCCGTTAATGTGAATGCGTGTAGAAGATGCTTTTGGATTTCGGCCTGCTGCTGGGCGGGGGTTTGATGGGTTCCACTAAAGATGCAAACTCCCTTTTCTATACTTGAATCTGCCTAAGCACTAAGCAAGCTGATCATATCATCTGGCGAATACACTACGGACGTCTATGTAGTGTTGCACATGAGGTTATTCCTTTATTTCAAGACCAACTCATTTGTTGTCATTCAGAATTCGTATCGGGTAATTTCTTGGGCAGAGGAATACAACGGCCTCCATCTCAATTAAAATTGTAATTTACCACTCTTGTGTTTCACATAGGACTAGCTCATGGGCGATACACAATTGCAATGAGACGCGAAAGAGTTTTGACAGTTTTGCTTTCATTCATTCTTAGCCGGTATCTATCCTTTGTCCGGCATATAGCAGCTAAACGAGCCTCATGTTAATAGAGACACCGGCTTCCTTTTTTCACCATCCGCCCACCTTGCCTACAGCAACCAAGGAGTTTTGTACAGCGGAATTCTGCACTAGAAGCTGCACTCTTCTCCTCAATGCTATCCAGTAACCAAATTTGTCTCTCCTCCTCACAAGGTATATATGTAGCAATACTTCACGACCCGACGCTCTGAGGATCGTCCCAAGGCAGACACAAAAATCATGTCGCCATCATGAAAAAAATCAAAAAGAAAATCCCAAACGAGGAAAAAAACCCAACCCAGCTGAAATGCGATGGAAATAAGTTGCTAAACAAAAAGGGGGCCGCGAAGCCTCAAATTTAGACAACAGGGCCGGCAGCCTTGACGTCGTCAGTAGCTTCCGACTCGTACTTCTTGAAGTTCTCAATGAAGAGACCGCCAAGCTTCTTGACCTCCTGCTGGAAGCTCTCCTTGCCGGCGGTCCAGGCGGTGGCGGGGTTGAGCAGCTCGTCGGGGACGCCGGGGCAGGTCTTGGGAACCTGGAGGTTGAAGACCTCGTAGGTCTCGTACGGGGCGTTGGCGAGCTCACCCGAGTGGATGGCGTCGAGGATGGCACGAGTGTACTTGAGCGGGCAACGCTTGCCACCGTGGGTGTAACCGGCACCGACCCAACCGGTGTTGAGGAGCCAGGCATTGGCAGAGTGCTGCTCAATCTTCTCGGCCAACATCTTGGCGTACTTCATGGGGTGAAGAGCCAAGAAGGGCTGAGCGAAGCAGGACGAGAAAGTGGCCTGGGGCTCAGTGACACCATCCTCAGTACCGGCCATCTTGGAGGTGTAACCAGAGATGAAGTGGAACATGGTCTGGGCGCTGTTGAGCTTGGAGATGGGTGGCAGGACACCGCGAGCGTCACAGGTCAACAGGATAATGTTGCTGGGGTGGTTGTTCGACAAGCAGGGAATCTTGGCGTTGGAGATGTACTCAATGGGGTAGGCGCATCTGGTGTTCTCGGTAAGAGTGGCGTCGTCGTAGTCAACCTCACGGGTCTCCTGGTCGAAGACGACGTTCTCCAGAACGGAGCCGTAGCGGATGGCACCGTGAATATCGGGCTCCTTCTCGGCCGACAGGCCAATGCACTTGGCGTAGCAGCCACCCTCGATGTTGAACACACCGCGGTCACTCCAGCAGTGCTCGTCGTCACCAATCAGGGCACGGTTGGGGTCGGCAGACAGAGTAGTCTTGCCAGTACCAGACAGACCGAAGAAGAGAGTAACGTCGCCGTTCTTGCCCTCGTTGGCAGAGGAGTGCAGAGTCAGGACGTGGTGCTTGATGGGCATCTCGTAGAAGAGAACAGTGAAAACACCCTTCTTCATCTCACCGGCGTACTCAGTACCAAGAATGACCATCTCCTTCTCGGCAAAGTTGATGGCAACGGAAGTACCCGAGGTCATACCCTCAGTGTATCTGTTGGCGGGGAAAGTACCGGCATTGTAGATGGTGTAGTCGGGGTGGAAGTGCTCCAGCTCCTCACGGGGAGGGCGGATAAGCATGTTGCGCATGAACAGAGCATGGTAGGCACGGGCACAGATAACTCTGACACGAATTCTGTACTTCTCGTCCCAGCCGGCGTAACCGTCAACAACGTAGATTCTCGTCCTTGTGTTCAGGTAGTCAATGGCACGCTCGCGGTTGATTTTCCACACCTAATAAAGTTTGACATGTCAGCAAATGAAACCGTTTTCAAGAATGGTCGAATTCCGTAATAGGACATGTGCTGTTGAACCGGGGAGACACGTGAATAGACCCACTAAGGCCGATCGTCTGGAGTCTGCGCAGGCGGAAGCGGGATGCGGAATAGGCGGGGTACAGCAGCAGGGCTAAGAACGACTAGCCGGCAGCTTGGGGTCGGTCGCCCGCCCATCCAATTATGACGCCACCAGCTGCAAGGGTATGACAAGCAGCCAAACGATAAAAGCTCGTAGCGAGTCTCCAAATCGTGATGCTGTCTGGGCTGAAAATATGGACTGGATTCCCGAGGTAAAACAGTTACGCCAGTAGGGATCCGAGGCCCAAAAACTCAATGACGCCCCAAAAGTGTCCATATGACCGAAAGGTCAAAACCATGTTATTGCGGGGGTGAGACTTGGCGGGGTAATTGGAATGTCTTGGTGAAGGGGGAAGTGACAGGAGAAGCAGTGAATGCAATTGTGTAGGGGAGACTGTTTCCGCCGAGCGTGGCACGAAAAACAGCCCAGTGAAAGAAATCATGTTCAGATGAACAGCATTGATCGCATACCTCAGGAGCCATGGGCTTGTTAACTGGTCCCCACCTATGTCGCGTGTTAGTGGAAATGGGCCATGATGTGAATGTAGATATCTGCCCAACATACCAGATATCGTTTTCTGATGATGCCTCCTTGACGATTCTCTTATCTGAGGGAGAACGTCCGGTCTTTGCGCCAGAGTATGCTGTCAGGGCACCGCTGGAAGCAATGGCTGAACCGACTTCGTATACAAGAGCATCTTCGTAAAGTGCGGCAACGGAAGGGTTAGGGATCTGTAGTGAAAAGAAGCAAATTAGCCATGTGTGCTTGAGGCACGAATATATGCATATTTGTATATAGACGTACAATTGCGACTCTGTCGTAATCGATGTGTGCCTTGTCGTGAAGTTCAATTTCAAGTTCTGTGTGTTCCACCTCCTGATGGGGCCTAAACGATCGTATTAGTTGATATTATTCCGTGTATTGTGAATTCAGGACGGCCTACTCAATGCCACCGGGGTGGAGGGCGGTCTTGTTGACTTTGTTGTTGGAAATCACTAGATGGTCATTGTTAGTAAATACGGACTTATATTCCAGCAATCCTCTCCCCGTGTCTCTCTCTTCTCTTCTATTTTTTTGCAAGAGCTCAAGATTGGGCTGTTTGGTAAAAACTCACTCTTGCGGTCTTGGAGGAGAGAATGGGCAACGGCGGAATGGAGCTGCTGATTTGAACGAGGTCCTTTAACGTTCTTGTCGGGATAAGGAGAAGCAGTTCTGGCAACGGGGTCGGCCATGGTTCTTATTATACAAGTCGTTTTCGGGCTCGTGGGGTCAATGATAATAGTATCTCTGGGGGAGGGAGCTGATGGCTTAGTGGAGATCCACTTGGTTTCCGGTGATATACGGGCGATTCAGGGCGACGATAATAATGCCTTGAAGCTTGCAAGTCGTGGGCCTCTAAATTCATGGGCCGAAACCGAGGATATAAGAAGCCAGAGCGAGTGGTGGATCAACCGAAAGTAAATGGCCACATGCCATAGGCCGGCACCTTTCTGACAATAGTGATTGGGCAACGGGGCCACGAATTCAAACCGGAGCGGCGACCAGCTTGAGCCCCTGCAACCCCGGATGAACATACATCATGTACCAAAGTATCGTGAACGGGACTTGAATCAATCATTGAAAATGGCGAACATGGATGCATCGTGATGAATAGCGTATCAATGTACATACACAAGTAGGTACCCTGATTAGTGGCGGCATGTATTCATCGTCCATGGTTGCACGAGGGGTATTCTTTTTTGCTCTTTTGCATAACACTAAGGGTTAGGTGTGATGAAATGCTGCAACCCTACATTCGTGGTCTTCTTGAATACTCCAAAGAGGTCGGCATGTAAACATGCCTTCGTTATCAGTGCAAGTTGACGGAACCAACAACGGGAAATTGACAACAATAATGTTCTTGGTTGGAGATTCAACGCGTGTACCTGGCTATGATGTGGTTCAATGTATAGCATGTGCACATGTACCTTGCCCAGCGGCCCCCCGCCCACTTTCCCCAGATCCTCACTTATACGGGGCCATCTGACCGGGTCGCAGTACTTTGCGGTGATGTAAGTTTGGGTGCCCATTGACACTCAATTCTCGTTCAAATTTTTTTGTGACAGTTACTGCACTGCTTTCCGCACTTTGGAAAGCCTCACTCATCTCTTGCTCCTGAAATCACAAGGTCGACTATTGTAACTGACTAAAAAGCCAACCGTGGGCAGGGCAACACATTCATCATGCCTGCCAACTACCGCCCGCGAACCTTTTCCGCCCCGGATGATGATGACGGCCATGACGATCAAAATGCTACCCGAACTTCGAAGGGCACCATTGGCGGTGCGGGACACGAAGACGGATAGGAGGGGCATTCTCGTGGGTGCCCCTCGCTCAGACCCCAGTCTGTCCTCCTTTGCCCTTTTCTTCACTAGTTAGCCTCGTGTCAAAGATGACCCTACGCTGAAAGTCCATACTGCTTTTAGTCCCTTGAGCCACAGTAGGCCAGGAGAATCTCGGGAGCACGAGACGGAAACTTGAAGAGGGAGCCGGGATGTGTGCGCTGATCCCAGATTCCAAACCCGTCTTGTGGGGAAAAGGAAAACCTGCCCCAGATCTGGGCATTGGGCGGAAGCCATGTGCTGAAGTCCTATTCGGTCTTGGCGGGTTACTACGCATATTCACCTCTTCTTGAGAGGGCCATTGAGAAGCAACATATTGCAGTACATGATCGGAAGTTTTACTAGTATTCACTGTATTATTTGACTCTTCTCAAGAAGTCACGTCATTACTTCTTGCGCAACATTTGAACAGGAGTACAAGAAGGAGAGTACTCGCCGGACTCACGCCGTCATGGGCATTGCAGCAAAGCTTCTGCATGCTGGAGGTACCGAAACTACCAAGACTAGTGACCGGGCCCAAGAATAAGACGACAAGAAAAAGCCCAGACTTTCTCAGCGTGCAATGCACAAGTTCCACGTTTTTTTCGTTCCCAAGACAAGAAAAAGTGCAGGAAGAGCCCAGGTCCAGGTGCCTGATCAGTATGCTCAGCTCAGCCCAGCGCCCCGCTAGCTGGGGCCATTTCTAGCCTGTATTTTCCACAAGACTCCCGAGCCTCATCCCGCGATTGGGGCTAGCCGTAGGGGAAGGAGGGGGGCAGAAAGCAAACATGGGGGGACAAATCGTTTCTCTTTCCGATATCCTCCGCATCTTTGCGGGGTGGAGGGGCATTGATTGAACCGCCCATATCCATTTTGTCCATGATAATTTCTATAATCGGCTTATCAGCGGCGCGTCATTGGCAAACTTGTCTTCCGCCATTGGTCCAAAGGCTTGCCTAGTGCAACAAGTTTTTATGTGTGTCGTGTGCCAGTGTAGCAGTAGAAGCTTTGCATGTTACACATAATTGCAAAAATGGCAGATCGGATCAACGTTTGTATTCTTGCATGAAGAGCAGAGCCCAATTTTTACGTAACGTCGGCTCAAGCATAGACCCGGCCATGGCCGGCAATAGGAAACAAAAATAAATAAGATAAAATAGAATTTTAATAGAGACACGGACATGCCCTCGTGACGTTTGTACTTTTTTTTTTGTGGGGTTCAAAACGAATTACAACAAGCCCATGTGACGGAAAACATGTGTAACCTCTCTGCTAGTAATGCTGCCCCTTGGGCGGAACAAATAATTGATACCATGGAACGGTCTAGGTTATGTTAGTAGATCAGCTCGGAAAAGGAGGAATCCCAAAATCCACAGTCAACGCTGCCAAGAAGAGAGGAACCAGAAAGGCGGAAGAGGGACGAGTTCTAGAGCCCAATATCACAAGCTTTTTTCCTGTGCTTGCTCTCATCTTTTCCACGTTACGCTGGCTGCACTGCATGGACGTTTGACAGGACTGGGCTTGGCTTTGCTTAGCTACGAACCGTTCCGTTCTGCCGGTAAGGAAAAGAGTCAACCCGCCTCGATAACAACTGGGACCCAGCACAGCCTCCATTATTATCCCGGAATCAAGCCTTGTATTTCCTCGTACCGATTCTTCCCGAACATTTCACCTATCGCCAAATCTGAAACTTGACGGAAGCTAATGCTTCACATGTCTCTTTCCAGCTTGAACAAAGATCCGCGCCATCTCCTGCTAGGAGTTAGATAGGGTACATACTGTAGATCTCTCTCCCTTGCATCATGCAGCCAACTGGATCTCTGTACTACGCTGTACGCCGGCTGGGAACCAAAGGAACGTCACCCTTGCTCCCGACATGTCCCGATGTGGTATACTCGCTGCATCTGCGGCCGATTTGCCCCGATCAGAGTATACACTTGCGTTTTCGGGACAAATCGGGGCGGCCTGCTGGCATCATGATGAACGGCAGGACGACACGCTGTTTTCCATCATGTATCTTTCAAAAATGATAAACGTCCTGCTCCACACTTGCGTTGGGCATCGGGATATCATCATTACGACGCTCTTTTCCCTTATTTCCCTAAAATCTCGTCGGAATCCAAGTTTGCTTCCGATTTGTCTCCCTTGGTCATGCATATCAAACATTTCCAAAAGCAACCCTTCCAATTCGATGCCTGAAATCTAAAGTTTTTTCATGAGCCATGTCAATTCTACTCGCATGTCCCGTCTCCTTTTTCTCTTGAAAACTCGGATCTTGAACGCAGCGTTATTGCCAATCAAAGCCATTACTCCCATTCACTAGGACCAGATACATGAATTTATCCAGCGAATAGCACTACGGGTTGATCATGATCATATGTGGACTTACTTATTTAGTTTCTCACTTCAGTGATTACACAAGATTTGGTCACAGTCTGCAGGATCTCAATTCAAGTCCTCAATATTGCATGCCATATAGTGGAAATTCAAATATAGCAAGGTTGACAAATCTTTTTTTTCTTCCACGTCGCCCAGCGCGACCAATCATAGCCTGGATACAGGCTTCTTTCTATGCTAAAGACTCTTGAACCCAGCAGTGCGGTTCTGATTGATCTAGATCGACTAAGCAGATCTCGGAAGCGTCAAAACAGCCATTGGTAATCTGGATTGACGGGTCTTCCCGCTCCCGCTCCTGCATTGGCCAACCTGGCTGGCTATCTGTACCTGCTTTGGGGAAGCTTCTGTTCGTCACTAACGTGTCCTTGAATGTGGCGTGGCGCAAATCAAGACCCGTGACTAGTTCTGGACCCCTGCAGTCATTCTTCTCATTCAGTCATAATGGTTCGTTGCTTAGGAAGATCCGTCCGTGATGAGCTTGATAATCTTGCCAATGGCAATGGTTTGACCCTATTTGGCATCAATTAGTTCAGTGTGTTCATATCAGAGGATAACTCGCACAGTGCTGAAGGTCACTTACCTGGTCTCTCAGAGTGAATCGTCCCATTTGCGGGTAGTCCTCGAACTTTTCAATACAGATCTGGCCAGCTCCACCAATGACTTGCAGACGCGCAATGATGCTGTCTCCTCTCTTGGCGTGGGACGGAGGCAGCTTGCTCTTACGGTTGGTGCCCTTCTGGAGCTTGTGAAGCAGGGCTGAGAAAGTAACTTCTTCAATCGCCGTGTGCACGTGAATGACGCAGTTGAATCCGGCGGAGAGAATGCTCTTCAGATCCAGAATACGGATCTGAGCCTCAAACTCGGCAACCTTGTGGACCAAACGCTTGGGCGAGCACAGCACAAAACCGGGCATGATATCTTCCTCTTCGAGACCACGGAGTCGGAGACGGACTTGGTCACCGCTTTGTGCAATGCCAACTTCCTCTTCCGTTTCAGTGTACACTGCAGAAATATCGACCTTATCATTGTTCGGCATCATGATCAAGGACATTCCCTTCTTAATCACACCAGCCTCAACCTTACCCTCAATCATGGTACCCATGTCACGGTATTTGGCAGCCACGGGCATCATGAAGGGTGCGTTAAGCTTGCGTTCCATGGTGGACATGTTGTCGAGGTATTCCAACAGAGATGGTCCGTTGTAGAAGGAGCAGACTCCCTCGGGAATTCTGTCCTTGATACCCATGAGCTGCTGTGCAGCAATGGGCATGAAGAACACATCCGTCTTCAGGTTGAAGCCGGTTCCCTTGAGAAACTGACTCAGCTTGGTGGTACACTCCTTGTATCTCTCGGCCGACCAGTTGACAGTAGGGTCATCCATCTTGTTAATGACCACCACCAACTTGTTGACTCCTTGGGTCTTGGCCAGCATGGCGTGCTCACGGGTCTGTCCTCCCTTCTCGAAACCTGTCTCGTACTCACCCTTTCGGGCGGAGATGACAAGAACACCAACATCAGCCTGAGCGGCACCACCAATCATGTTGGCGACATATGTCTTGTGGCCGGGCGCATCGAGAATTGAGTAGCGGCGCTTTTCAGTCTCGAAGAAACCCCTTCCAACCTCGACAGTCTTACCCTTGGAGCGCTCCTCCTTGGTAAGATCCAGAGCCCAGGAGAGATACCAAGTCTCACGGCCAAGTTCCTTGGCTTCGCGCTTGTACTTGTCCAGAGTTCGGTCGTCGACCATACCAGTAGCGTAAAGAATGGAACCTCCGAGGGTAGACTTGCCAGCATCAACGTGGCCAATGAAGATGATGTTCATGTGCTCCTTTCCGTACATTTCCTTCAGCGTTGCCTCATCAACGTCAGCGGACTGCTCGTTGGCGACAGCATCGGCATCTCGCTTTTCGGCGGCCTTGGAAGCTCTTCCGGGGCTGGATCTGCCCGAGCCAGTTGATGGGGTTGGCGAGGTTCTTCCGCTGGCAGTCTTGGTGGTCTCTCCAGTCTTCTCGATAGCCTTGGCAGCGCTTGCCTTGGCTCCAGCTTCAGCACCGGCTGCGGGCTTCTCCTCCTCCTTCTTGGGCTCATCCTTGGGAGGTGCGGGGACACCAATGGAAAGGACCTTGGTCGCGCCCTCGGTGGCGACCTTGGGCTTAGCAGGATCGGCGCCGATGCTCAAAACCTTGGTACCTCCGGCCTTCTCGACTGTTGGCTTTGCGGCAGCTGGAGCGGCAGCAGGATCAGGGCGCTTGGCAATAGTAGGAGTGGGCTTCGAGGCTTGCTGCTGCTGGGGTTGTCTTGGGGGTTGGTTTTGTTGGAATTGCTGCTGGCCATACTGAGGGTATTGTTGGCCTAGGGTTTCGTCATGTTAGAATTTACGCTGGCATTCGGCAGGATTGAGGTCATAACACATACCGTAGCCCTGGTTGAATCCGGCCTGACCTTGCTGGCCGTAGACTCCACTATAACCGGCCTGGTTGTATTGGTTGAAGCCTTGACCGCCGTACTGAGGATAGAAGCCCTGCTGGCCGCCGTAGAACTGCTGCTGCTGCTGGCCACCATACTGGAGGTAGCCACCGTAGGCCTGAGCGCCGGGAGTGAAGGAAGCAGCGCCGGGCTGGAATGAAGCGACACCGGGGCGGAAGCCGCCTTGGGACTGTTGCTGGTTGTTGAGGTTCAAATTTTGCGCCTGGCGCGACAGGTTCTCGTCCTGTGCCGACGGGTCGTCTTCCCATGAGTTGAGGTCCGACATTTTGTCTTTCTTTGTGTGTGTAAGGGCGACTTTGAGAACGCTAAGCAGTAACTCGTCGTCGATGTGGACAAGCGAAAGATCGTGAAGGAGAAAAATGTGAGACCCTTCGTGTCCTTGGGTGTCGTCGGTTTGATAAAATTGTTGGACGAGCAAAAGCGACGGAGCCAGCGACTCAAGAATCTAGTGCGGGGCAATTTTTAAATGCAAAGTGTGCTGCTGGGGGTGGTCGGCGGGATGTGCAGTCAAGTCTCAGTCACTGGGTCACAAATCCGATCAATTGCTGTCCAACAGGGGGAATCTCCAGCGCCCGTTACCTACATGTCTGTTTACAACTCGATTTTAATCCCTGTGTACTTCGTATGTCATCACTTTTATGAGTCAATTTCGTTCTGATGCCTAAAGTTGCTGAAAACAGGATATCGGCGGGATAGATCTCTATTGACTCCGACCGTGCTTTTCCCATCATACAATGAATTCCGCCTAATTATCAGCAGTCTTTCGGTTTTTTTTTGTACTTCACCGAAGAGGCCAGTGGCCATTTCTTCCCTGTGCCTCGAAGTAGGTACCTAATCAGCGGGGTTGTTCCCTTTCTTCGCTTCATTCATGCCCCGCCAATGACGGCAGTTGGGCCAATGTTGCACCTCGAGCATGTCATGCCTAACACCAGGATCATATAATTGTACCTATTATACCTGGATATCAGAGAGGGTGGCAATACATATACCACCTTTCACCCGTGTGATCAGCAGAAATAATGTTAGAAGGGGGGGAAACTGTATGTAAACAGTAAAGAATTCGGGCATGAACGTCACATATTCACATTGACGATGGGCATTACCGTGTGAGTGACGCTAAAGCACTGTACGAATTGAAGAAAGACGCCCAGCACTTGGCCAAATTTCCAGCATTAAACCTACCATGACCCCACCGAAATAGGCAGTAAGGGCTGGAGATGATTCGCTGAGAGACCCTGTTAAAGGCTGGGCACTGTGCTTGTTGTCTGCCTGGACAAACCTCAAAGGGGACAGGACCCGCTAGACAACCCCGGATGGCCTAGGTAGGTAAGGTAAGGAAGGCACGTACCTGAGAGGACCTCATGCATTTCGTGTGCAAACAAACGCCCAATCGACTTCACCTAAAGTCGGCCCCGTGCACTTGAAAACAACTTTTTTGTTGTTGTTGTACTATACGTGTATTGTCTAATGTACAGGACGTCTGACAAAGTGATTCTCGTGACGACTCTCTACTCTACTTTCACTAGATTTCATCCACTTACCCGCTCTTTCCCTTGAGTTCCATAACCCCCGTATCCGATATTGCTTCTCTCCTAGAGACATCATTTTATGCGTGTCGAGGGGAAAAGGTAATCTTACCTAAGCAAGACATGTTCCATTACATACCAAGTCTCTTACGGTAGTCATGGATGCATTTCTGGCTCGGGTGTCTTACCATGCCACGAGTTATGCGATACGATCGGCTGTAGCATTGACCTCGAGCCTCGTGGTCCAACAAGGCTCCAGGCTGCTCAAGGTGAGTCAAGCTGCACTTGGACGCTCTCTCTCAGTATCTCCTGCTCACATGCCTCACAACCACAACAGACTGTTGACGATCAGCCTCTAAGAGCAGAGCTGGCTGCTTTGCAACGGCGCTTGGCCCGGAAAATTGAGGTCAGTGCTCGTAGCAATGAACTTGGGCCCCCATCACTAATTTTCCTGACAGCTCATCTCGCCAATCTTGGAGTCTATCGAGTTTCGCTACACAAGAGGCAATACAGCACTGGAGGCCGTGGTACGAGTAGGCAGAGAACTCCGAGAGGATATTGACCTGCTGGCCGCAAGGTATCAGGATGCCGCCATTCTCGAAGAGCGGACCGCCAGGGGCTTGAAGCCCCCATCTGCCCGAGATGGCCGGGCAGAGCTGCTCTCCATCCTAGCAGAAACAAAGCAGCTCATGCTCAGCATCGATGACCTGATTCCTTCCATCAACCTTTGGGTTTCTGCGATTGGTGGCGTTCAGACTGAGCAGTCTACATTTTCTCCTTCGCGTCTGCTCCAGGCGAGCATGTTGGTCAATGTGAGCGACTCACAGTTCGTCCTCGATCCATTCCGGCCCATGCAGATAGGACCAGACTTCACCCTGTCGCTTTACATGTTATTCCGCGGCCACGCTTCGGCAGAAAACGGCGAGGCGTATGGCATCGAGGAAGGACAGAGGAAACCAATGTGGCAAGAAGTCATACACAAGGCACGCGTCCGGCTATATCGCATACCCACAGGTTTCGAGGATAACGAGGAGTTGGAAACAGACCAGGAGAGTAGACCAGCCATGGGATACGCATATCAGCTGCAGATTCTCGAAGACTTGGATGATGGACGAGTTCATACATTCGAAAACGGCAACCTTGAACCTGGATCATACGATGGTCTCTCTCTTGCTGGCGTCAGAGAGAACATACCCATTGGACAGATTTCAAAGATGTTTTACGCGGACGTAGGGAGGATACTGAACATTAATAACGAAGATGGTGCCTCCAGCAATCCGGTTTTGCTATTGAAAAGAGACACCTCTTCAATGACTCCCAACCCCACAGCAGCTAACGGCAACCTCCAGATTCAGGAAAAGTCAACTCGATTGATCCCAAGTATAGAGGCTCCTGATTCTGTCTCCGACTCCACTCTGTCCGAATGTAGTGATCAGGATGACATTGATCGCCAACTTCGGGAAGAGAGTCAGGCAGCGGAGCAATTAACTCATGAGGAGAGTGATTTTCCTGAAGGAAAGGCTGTGGACGAAACTTTTACAACATCACCATGGACCATACCAAGCCATCTTGATCCGGAATGGCTCGCACTCGAGGTCTTTGATTTCAATGACGACGACACTGCCTCAACCTCGTCCCTAGATGACGAAGACCATGAGCCCGTTGTACGACCACGGGACGGCACTTCACCAATCCCCAAGACCACCAAACCTCTAGCGTTACATAGAACATCAGTGGACAGCAATCTTGTCAGCCAATTACAGCGCATGAGCATCGCCAACGGATCCGGCCACTCATCCTCGCGGTCTTCAAGCTCGTATCATCGACACAGCAACGGCCACGAAGCCATTGGCTCCTCGGTATCTGCAGACCTCGTTCATGGCCATCACCACGACAGGCTGGCATCGCTGTCCCCCAGTACGGTAGAACGGTCGCCGTTTGGGGCCATTCGAACCTCGCTCTCGCTGCTCGAGATGTTGCTCCGTCTTGCCAGCCTTCAAGAGTTTGAACAGACCACTCACCTCTCCATCCCCGACCATGTTCTCAAATTCTACCTGGATGAATCCGCTTCAGAGAGTGGCCTCCACGGGAAAGAGCGCTGGGCCGCGAGGGCCGAAACCTCGCGGAAAATGGGCTTTGACCCGTATGTTGACCCGCCGGGCGGAAACGGCGGGGGCACAGCCGGCATCTGAGCAGCAGAGAAAAGACTAGAATTTCTCCTTTTGAGCATCCATCCAACAGTATAAAGCATATAGCAAGGAGTTTCGGTGTCCATTTCTCGACGAAAATTGTCAAAAATCTTGACTGATAAACAGACGCTTCACAATTACCTAATCATTTGCTAGAACTTGCAATTTGTACCTTGGCAGATTCTTGGGGGCAGATAAACTTGTTCTTCATCAACAAATAGTATTGAATGGTACAACATGTTTCATTATCAAATCGTAAAGCATGCTCACCAATACGGTACACCTTTTACGTGTTCAGTATCCGGAAAAGGGAAACCTCCGTCAAAACGCCTCCAATGTGTATGATCCGTGCAACCAGCCGTGTCATCTCCCGTGCCATCATAGCCGATCCATATTTCCTCTGTAACCTCATCAAATCATGTCATCCACTCGTGAATCCTGGTGGGTTTTGTCTACCACCGTCTACCATAGACACTATTCTCTTGTGTAGGCTTCTGCTTTGGTCTCTTAACATAGGCCCTCAGATCTCGGCCAATTTGCTGGGCATCGTAATAGTCTTCGGGGCTAGCGATTCTAACATTGTTACCCACCGGCCTAAACAGATCCATCAGCTCCTTGAGGCCAAGCTTCAAGCCATCCTTGCGCATGCCACCCTCAATGGCCTGCTCGGCCAAGAGGCGCTTCTTGTTTTGGAGTTCTAGGATTCTTTCTTCGACCGTGTTCTCGACCGTGAGCTTGTAAACCACCACGTCGACTTTCTGGGTGAGACGGTGCACACGGTCAATGGCTTGCTCCTCGACAAAAGGGTTCCAGAAGGGCTCCAAGATGACCACTCGGCTAGCGGCTGTCAGGTTCAGACCCAGAGCTCCGCAACGGAGGGAACAGAGCAGTACTCTGGTGCGGGGATCGTTGCGCAAAGAGTCGAGGGCAGCTTCACGTGCATCGTTTCTCATGCCACCGTCGTATCGAGTGTAGCGGATGCCATCTTTCTTGAAAAACCTCTCAACAATATCTAGCATGGATGTGAACTGAGAAAAGACGATGAATTTGTGGTCGTCGACCTCATTGTGCAAGATCTTCATGAGCTCGCGGATCTTTGCCGAAGCCAGGACGAGCGGAGTCTTTTCCTTGTTCCTGTGTCTCCCAGTGGACCAAGGATTCAGTGACTGGTCTTCGTCAGAGTCCGAATCGAGGTCGTCCTCGATTCCATCCTCGGAATCCGAGTCCTCTGTCTCTTCACTCGAGCTTTCAGACTTGAGAGCGGCTCTAGCTTTCTCAGCCTCGACCTTGGATTTGATGACAGAAATTGACTCGAACTCTTCTTCAGATTCAGAATCATCGAGAGTCTTGTCGGCATCTTCTGGTTTGGTGTCTTCCTCATCACGAACAATGAAGCTATCCAGTTTACTGCCATCTTCTTCGGAGTCGCTTTCCGAGTCGGCCGTATTGATAGATTCGCCTTCGCCTTCGGCATTCTCATCATCGGTGCCGCCAGCCTTGCCCAGCCGCAAGGGACCTTGTTCATCGCCAGAAACAATCCAGCTCCCCTCATCCTCCTCATCATCACTGTCAATAATGGCAGCTCGATTTCTTGGCTTGCGGGCTGGCTTGATGATGGACTGATCACCTTCGTCATCGCTATCGACAACAGTCTTGCGATTTCTCGGTTTGCGCTTGACGAGCTCCGTCTTGACCTGCTCGCGAACCACCTTCTTGACCTTTGCTTTGGGCTTTCTGACCTTCTTGGGGCTTTCGGGATCGTCACCATCATCGTGGTTATTGAAATATTCCAAGTCTTCAGAACATGATTTGCACATGTCCTTTCCTTGCACGCGATTGTCCTTGTCCAGCTCCCAACCGCAAATGTCACAGTGTCTAGCCTGAACATCAAGTCCGCCGAGCAGGTCTGCGAGCTCGTCAACATCGGCATCGTTCTTCTTGGGTTTCGTTTCCGTGTTCAGTGCCTCCCTGTCCTTTTCCAGCTTGCCCTCGACAAGCTTGGGATGGTTGCAGACTTGCCTGAGTCGTAGCAGCAAGACAAGGGCATTGGCGTAATTGACATTCTTGGATTTCATCATGCTCTGGATGCTCTTGTCGGTTCGCAGCTCGAGACGGTCATAGAAGCGTCGTTCCGCGGGAGAAAATTTGGCTTGCAATGAGACAACTTTTCTCTCGGTGATCTTGAAGTCCGACGTGGCGCTCTTTTCTTCGCCATCTTTTGAATCGGACTTGCTACCGCCAGCATCTAGGGCGCCCGGCTCCTTGAGAATTTCCTTGGTTCGTCGCTTCATGAAACATCGAAGGATACTGTGCAGTCGTTGAATGGCCACATCTCCTTCGCCTCGCTTCATTGGCGCCTCGATATGGTGTTTCCATTCGGCAAGGTCATCATACGGTTTGATGCGCAAGAACTTGACCAGACTCTGAAGCTCGTCCAAGTTGTTTTGCATAGGGGTGCCACTGAGACACCAGCGATAGACGCTTCGAAGGTCGTAGCATGCCTTTGTCGACTTGGCATTGCGGTTCTTGATGGTGTGCGCCTCGTCCAGGATGACACGGTACCAATGCAGACCAAAACAGCCAGCCTTAACCGAGCCATTGGTATGGCCATGTTCAGACACTAGGATCTGATAGGTCGTGATAACGACATCATACCGACGAAGATCTTTGAAGTTCTTGGTGCGCTGCGGGCCGTGATGAACCAGGACCTTTAGTTTGTGGGAATCGGCAATCTTGTCCTTTAGCTCTGCTTCCCATTGTCGGATCAAAGCGAGCGGTGCTACGACCAGAGTTGAACTTTCAACGCCTTGAAGTTTATCAGAGTCCTTTGGTTTTCGGTTGGTGAGAATGAGTGAGATGGATTGCAAAGTTTTGCCAAGACCCATATCATCTGCAAGGATACCGCCCTTTGGAACCTTGCCCTTCTTGACTGGACCAAGCTCGCGACGCTTCATCCATTCGACACCTCTGACTTGGTGAGGTAGAAGACGGACGTTTAGTCCCTTGATTTGTGACTGACTCTTGCCGTCATCGTTCTCTGATTGTTTCTCGTCATCGTCGTCGTCGTCCTCCTCCTCGTCTTCATCATCCTCAAGCGACCCTTCAATGAGAGCCTGAAGGTCAGCAGACGTCTTCTTGGGATCGGTCCAGTTGGACGAGAAGCCTGGCTGAGTGTATCTTGGTGGTGTGTCCAAGACCGAGATGGGGTTTGTGGCGGATCCAGCCGGGACCGTGCTGAACATGGGAGGGGGCGGAGGCTTCTTGTCCTTAGCAGAAGGTCCTAAAGGTCCATTGATGCGCGTTGGGCGGTGGTGTTCTGGCCGCGACTTGGGCTGGATGAATAGATGAGAGTACTTGTCGTCCAAGTTCTTGCCATATGCGCTGGCTTTAACAGCAGGCCGATGTGAAGACGTGGATGAAGTGGAGGGGGCCGTGGATGTGACGGGGCCGAAGCCATTGTGGTTGGCAAACACGCTCGGCTTGCTTGTTGTTGCGCTTGACTGATCGGAACTTGCGCCCACATTGGCTTGGTTGCTCGACGGTCGCAGAGGTAGATTCGGGGGTGCTTGTTCGCGAGCCATGCTGGGCGGCGGACTCGGCGATCGGGAACGTGGGTGTAGTAGTTCTTTCAATCCACTCTTGAGGGTATCCTTCAACCCCTCCTTCAGACTCTCCCTGAACCCCTTGCGACTTTCGTCTTGAGCCAGCTTGACGGATTTCTTTTGGTTCAAGGGGCTATTGAACGTGGTTTCTCAGACGTGGATCGAGTTTGGGCGGCGAAATTTTGAGCAAAATGGAGAAGCGAGAAAGCAGTAAAATTGGTGGTTGTTTGCAGGAGATGCTCGGTGAAAATTGGATGTTGGGCGCCACCTATGTGATGCATGCGTTGTCAAAAATGCTAAATGGGGGGGTTTTATATACCCTTCGTTCTCTGCAACATGCTGCGTCGTTGTTTTGCATGCGAAACCAGTCGCGTTGAGTATTCAAAGAGCGTTGTCTTGCTCTTTGCGCGTCGTTGTGCTGCGATTCAGTAAATGGATGTACAGTACATGGTTTTTTTGGTGGTGAGCGCCGTTGTTTACAATGACATAATTTGCCCGGCCAACCGTGAAGCGAGGGGCCTTTGGGGGGCACAGCGGGCGCCAACTCTAGGCTGCCGAAGCTGTTGACGGGCTCATTTGCAAAGTGCTCGGATATATGCATATGTACTTGTCGATGCTGTTAGTCCCGGATCGCCCCCATTTGTCAAGTATAACAATAACAGCTTGCACTTTAGAAGGTCATGGCCAGGTTTTAGAGTCTTGACTCAATCATGTTCCACATGTAATCTGCATACTAATGTAAGTAAGCGCATGTCTGCGTGGATACTATATAATTTTTACTCCGTAATACCCTTATTTTAATTTTTCTTTTTTTTTTTTTCAATAAGGACTGTTTTTGAGGAAGTTATCTTTCTTATTGTTTAAAAAAAAAATTGTAGTATAATATGAGAATAAGACGCTCGCCTATAGCTCGTAATCTGTTGCTTAGAATAAAATGCGGCAACTGACCAAATTACTGGCTAGATGGATGCTTCTTCAGAATTGAGAATGGAAGGTTGCCATTCCATCGTAGTGTTACTGAGACCTCCATTTGAACTTTCTCTTTGTTTTCCTTGTCTGGCCACTATAAAACGATGCGCATTTGTGAATCTCGCAAGGCGTTCCTAACCATAACTCCGCGAAAGCAACCGTCAGCAGATTCCTCTCAGGAAGTTGTTTCCCCCTTTGAGTTAAACATCCTCCCTGTCCTCAGCATGCGACCCTTAACATTCAAATTCGTGACATGACCCATCGGTAGGTGTGCAAAGCCATTTTTGAGAATAAAGTGCCAACACTTGCGTACCACCATAGCTTGCCTCTACCGTGTGATGATGCAGAAGTTCCTTGGGTCCAGTCAAAACTCATGACTGGAACGTGGTGACTTGCTGTCATGCTGGATAAATCATCTTCTTCCACTAGAGAAAGATAGTATCCTGGGGGAAGTCATTCCAAGCTAAAGCACTGCCATTCTCTCGAGCATCACTTTCTCTTCGATGTGTGACATTGTGCATTTTTGCTCACCCTAACGCCCGATTATAACTGACATCAATCATCTAAACCCTAACGCACCATCGTGATCCAATCACAAACTGAGTGCTTTAGGCGATGGCCGGGTTTGGTACTTCTCAAGGAGCTGGAGTGTGTAAGGAGAGATGCACAATAATTTTGAGGCAAATGTCCATAATCAAACATAAGGTGTCTGTAAGATTTTCATGCTTTCGTCATGGTTTGATATTGGCAGAGCCATCAACTCGGTCATCGAGATGAACTCCAATGAGTCAATTGCATCACTATGGAATATGAAAAGGCGCTGCTTCGGCGCTGCCAAAATCCATTGGTTCAAGCATTGCTAATAAACATCAACATCTAAGCTAGAACGGCCCTTCAGCGTATGTTATCTGGTGCCTCAATCAAAAGCGCGCAAAGAGTTGTTCAGTGCGTGATTTCCACTCATCCGACCTGTCATCATAGGAACCCAAACGCCTTGCTATGGACGATTGCCGGCTTACCAATCTTTGCAGCCTCTTTGACCCCCTAGGCGGCGACGTTGCAAGCCCGTCAGGGGGAAACCTGGGGCAATCTGGAGAATCCGGGGAATTCCAGACTATTGATTTGTTCAACTAACTTATTATGGGTTAATTCGGACTTAACAAACACTTGAGAGTTAGTTTTCATCTTAAATGCCTGCGTATATTCCGGGGTCAAGTCATGGTTATTGAGGCGATCGGGATTTCCGACGGTCTAACCATGAACCCCACTGACGGATCTTCCGCGCAAGTGCAAATATACCTCGCCTTTAATATGTGAATTCACTATTTACAATCCTCATGGCCATGTGACTTTCTTAGAACCTGTGGTCTCAGGGTTTTGCTAGAGGAAACAAAACGCTTGCCATTATGAGGTTTGTCGGACTTGGAGGTGCCACGGCATGGCTGCTCGCCACGACTATACGTTTGGTGGCGGCAGAAAACTCGACATATACAAACCCCCTGCTTTCAGGCTGGAACTCGGATCCGTCGTGCATCTTTGTATCAGAGGGCCAATACAGTGATACCTGGTTCTGCACCACGTCCAGCTTTTTGACGTTCCCCAATATCCCCATTTACGCCAGCAAAGACTTGCAGACATGGCGACTGGTCAGCCACGCCTATAGTCGCATCGAGCAGTTCCCGGACATTGCCACCACGTTTCCCCTGCAATTTGACGGAACCTGGGCCTCGACGCTGCGGTATCACGAAGGGACTTTCTACGTCATCACAGCGTTTGTCACTATATACAGCTTCAACCCACATATTCTCTTGTTCAACTCGACGGATCCCTTCTCGGATGAGGCCTGGTCTGACCCCTGGCAGATCCCCAATCCCACATACGGTGCGGATCCAGATATCTTCTTTGACGACGCCAGTGATTCGGTCTACGTGACGGTCGCCAATGGTACTGGCCCGTGGTCAATCACACAGTATCACATTGATCTTCCCGCGCAAGAAGTCCTTGGAGAGCCAGCCGTGCTGTGGAACGGCAATGGCGAGAGTTCCCCCGAAGGTCCGCACATTTACCTCAAGGACGGCTACTACTGGCTTCTCGTGGCCAATGGCGGCACTGGATTAAACCACAGCATCGCCATGCTGCGGAGTGAGACTGTCGATGGGTTCTACGACTTTTACGAGGGAAACCCGGTGCTCACCAACCGGGGAACGGATGAATACTACCAGACTGTCGGACACGGCGATGTATTCCAAGACAAGAACGGCAAGTGGTGGGGTGTGGCGCTGTCCACTCGTTCGGGGCCGGAGTACGAGATATACCCAATGGGACGAGAGTCGGTGCTCTATCCCGTCACCTGGGACGAGGGCGAGTGGCCCGTCTTCCAGCCTGTCCGCGGCGTCATGTCTGGCTGGGAACTTCCCGCTACTGACCTGAGCCCGCCCGGCTCCGGACCTATTGCAGGCGCGGCGGAATTTCTTGACTTTGCGCCCGGCTCGGATATTCCAAAGAACTTTGTAACGTGGCGTGCTCAGAACGAGACTGCCGACAACTTTTTGGTATCGCCTGAAGGTCACGATAATACACTGCGTCTCCTACCCTCGCGCGCCAATCTCACTGGCGACGCCGCATTTGTCCCGGGACAAGAAGGCCAATCTTTCATCGCAAGAAAAGGGCAATCTCACACCTTGTTTGAGTTTTCTGTTGATCTCGTCGAGTTTGACCCGTCAACGGCGGGCGAGGAAGCCGGTGTCACAATCTTCTTGACGCAGGGCCAACACATGGACATAAGTGTGGTTGCCTACAACGTCAACACGACTTCGCGATGCAGCAGCAACAGCACGTCAAAGGTCGCCAAGTACCTCAGCTTCTCGGCCGAGGCATACTGGGCCTCGTCGACCATGACGGCCGCCGTTCCCGAGCCCGTAACGATGGCCCTGCCCGCTGGGTGGGACGCTGTTCGGTTCACCGTCAAGACTGTCAACGACACTCACTATGACTTGTCGGCTTCCAGCGCCTCTGGCTCGGAAGATGCGATCAAGCTTGGGACAGGGCCCGCTGCCTTACTTAGCGGAGGCGGAGGCATGTATACTGGCGCGATCCTGGGTGTCTTTGCCACCACCAACGGAGGCGCATCATCGGGTTCCCCGGCGTATTTTGGCAACTGGAACTATACACCGATTGCACAAGAGGTTGAAAAGGATGTCTTTGTGTATTATTAATCCACTATTTGCGGTGAACCACTGTCTTCCGACGCAACTAATTTAATTATTAGACAAATACATGAATTATTTGTCTATCACTCTCTCTATTCTTCTTTAAACCCGTATCAAAGAAGAAAAACTTGGAAAGATTTTTGGGCTTTTCCTAATTAACCATCCGAGTTTAGATAAACAGCTGATTTCCGTATCCGAGCTCTCCGGATGGATATCCGGTTTGACTCACTTGGCAAAGCGAAACGGGACCGAAGCGCATGTAGGCAAGGACCGGGTATGTAGACAGGTTACACGATTTTACTGATAGCTCTGACTGATCGGCAGACCCTACATGGAAGCCACGCGTCCTTGCCTTTTGAGTAACGTGTAACTTCTCTGGGGATCTACTCTCCTTGGCCTGATTGAGCACTCGCGGTTCACTGTAGCAAGATGGGAGAGAGATAGAAAAAGAAAAGTCCTAGCAGCATCCTTTGTGTCGTGTAGCGGAAACCTCCCTGCGACACACTAAGGAAGCCGTAAAATGACATGTTATTAGTAGTCCATAGTTTTGATCGCTTAATTCTGTCAGAAGAAAAAGAAACAGCGGTGTCTAGGGTCAAAATAACAGCTACCCGTCATACAGGAGCGTGAGAAAAGTAAAGTGCAGAGAGTCCGGTGAATGATGACCAGAAGAAAACGGCGAAAATCATGACAAGTCAACAAAGGCAATGAATGGGGAGGCAGCATGATGTAGATATGCAGATTAAAGGCTATGCAACTTCTACTTCTTCTCCATCGTCCGATGCGGGGAGGGGGAAAAAGTCACGGTCAGCTTATTGAGCGGGACAGTTGCACATTGTCCAAGCAGACGTGTTCCGGCCCGCGGCTCCGGATCAGGAAATAAGTCCAGCCCAACCGAGCTGATACCGGAGCATTTGTGGACCAAGTAGTGACTCTTGGAAATAATAAGAAAAGAGATAGAGAGGAGAAGAAGAAAAGAGAAAGTCGGCTTCCTCGTACATGCGAGGCGTCGGGAAGCGGCACCGTCAAAGCAAGATTGCGACGAGTGCCGAGCCGATCAAGCGCCATGGCGCCTGACGTAGCAAGAAGAATCAGCCACACCTTCTTATGCTTACATTTCTCCTCCGTTGAGATGAAATATCAAATATTCTTGATTTTATGTGGCTTTTGGGGGCGACGGGCGAGAAAAAATGAGAATCGATTGAATGTGTACGTCTAAATGGTGCCTGGAACAGTCCCTCCTGGCACCTCTCCCACCCCTGCTGGCTTTAACCCTTGCCGCCGATCTTACCACCCTAGTCTATACGAACTTGGAGGCCAAGTGCTATGGTTCATCTTGTTGGTTGCCAGACGATTTCAGCCCTACCCATAGTAGTAATAGCAAAAACAAATATGACAGGAGCATATTTTTGGATCATCTACTCTTGAAAGTGCTGACAAGCGGCCATGGCTTTGTATAACTAGCGTCTGGTTGTATATCTGGTAACTGGCAGGCAGGCCACAAGTCCAGCCAAACAGTGTCATTGACTGTAAAATCCTTCATCAACCTTATCTCTCATCTTGTCTTGAGTCTTCACCCGGATTATTAACTTGCTTGCTGACATGATTAGGGCTGAGCAACAACCACACAACGTAGCGCTCAAGAAAGTGGCCAGTCATGGATGACTCACAACTGCGTCCACGGACACAGGATTGGATGGTGGCGACTTGAGTCTTCGTAGCTGGTACAACAGCGCTCAGCAGGGGAGAACGTGCCATTAGCAACAAGTAGTGTCGCCGTGGTCGCCATTCCCCCTCCTGTACACAGAAAAACAATCATGCCATCGGCCGACGTATGCGTTCTTGGGGGTGAGCAACAGCTGTCTTGCTTGCAGCAAAAAGAAGAGAAGAGGCTTACGACGCCTGCATGCGAGATATTCCGCAGTGGACTTTCTTTTCTGTGCTTGCTACTTCCAACCACAGATCTGCGGCATCATTCTTGAGGTCGCACAAACATTGTCCCTCCCCATATGAGCATTATTACAGCATGGAAGCTCTAAAGAACACTTTAGACCTTGCACTAAAGAGTCATATACGGCCGTTTCTCAAGTTGAATGTGACTTCATGTCTCAGTAGCAGCGAGGCCACGAGGTTGAAAGGGAATGCTGCACAGACGTTGCATTCTTTGGTGTCGTTCCGTCCATTGCATATAGTGGCTTGCAGCCCGTTGCGTCGTAGCCGGGCGGTTTCTTTCTTAATGCTGGGTGGTACTCGGAAAGAAATCCTTGTCAGCCCAGCTATAGTCTTCGGCACCGAACCTCAATTCCATGTCAGAGACAACTCCAAAAGCTTAAATGATTGTTTTATTTGGGTGCAACACAGTCGATATGTATAGTGTTTTGCACGTGTGTATTAAATACACGCCTTTTCCAAGAAGTATCGCGTATTGTTGCCTGTTCTTCTCGAGGATACAACAGGTAGAGCAGGAAATATGGTGATGCAGGAGACTTCTGTCAGATAAAGTCAAATCTTGTTCATACCATGAGGTGGTTGAGTGGGAAAATGCGAAAACGTGCCATGCAAGTTGATTGCTTTTGTTCCATTATACCTCTCAAGCATGCGGCTCTGTCAGGTCTGAAATCTGGTGCGTCTGGGAAACCTGCTGCACGAGGTATTAGTTGTCCCTTTGATAATGATGCATTCAATGTTCATATGCGGACAATGAAAACCCATGGTAAAAATGTTTAAAAATAATTTCCATGTCATGCGTATGGTGATAAGTTGTTCATCGATGATGGCATGAAACACCCATTCAATCCATTGAGAGGATTTGAATAAAGAAATCTTGAGGGGCGGCGATTATCACGTCCAATATGCCCGGCTCCCTTGCTGCAGCACAACATCCCAACGCTTGCTTCTGTCGCACTGCATGAGAACATGCTTAATATTTTCCGAAGGCATGATCCAGACTTCATCAAATGACCCCTGTCGTGCAACTCGGTGGCGGCAGGGAACGAGATAGTGCGCTGTGCCATTGGAACCTTTGTACTTTTACGCGGCGTCGCATGATTGGCAATCAGGGTATTTGTGCTTGTTATATCGGGTGAAGGGGAAGCCAAGCAATCTTTGTAGTACAGTGCCTTTTCGGACTTCGCCAGCAGAGTGCTATCATAACTGGAGATATTTGGTGAGGTGCAACAACATACTGGTCAAACTCGTTGTAGAGGCGGAATTAGATATCACTTCGTGTAAGGAAAACGATTGCTTTTGCCTACTTTCATTACGAGAGCACAACACATAGGGCTAGGCTGAGGTGACGAGCTCAGCTTGACTACCCCACGGTCGGGTGGTCCTGGAGAATAGAACGAGAAGTGGTCATGAAATCCTCTTTCGTGATGGATAGAATGTCGTGCATGTAGCCCTGTCAGATTCCAAGACCTGTTACTGGCGGTGTGTGACCCAGACTTGTGGGTTAGCGAAGAAGCTGCTGCATCTTCCCCGATTCAGAAAAGCTGAAGTGTGCTGACAACCAAACATGGCGCCCATGATAGGCTGTCAGAGCATAAAGGAACGAATCCCGACTGTAAATCATGATTTATGCCCAAGGCATGTTGCCTATCAAGAGCGGGCAGCAAGTGACCTGCTAATGCAAGCTGCAGTCAAGAAGCGAGATAGAGGATCTATTGGAAAATAGGCCAAGAAAAAGCAGAGGAGTTCTTATCTCACATAAGTTGGCTCATCATAGGCCGTATTAGCCTGGGCATGCTCTAGCGCGTGGGCTGCGCCAGCGGTGCAAAGTCCTAGTATATTGACTGATCTCAGCGCATACCTGGGGATGAGGAAATTAGGCGGAAACAAGTTGTTCTAGCGTAGTCGTGTTGAGAGAGAGGGTCTAATAATCCTTGTTCTCTTGGCTAGAAAAGGATTAAACAAGTGAAAGAAGAAGAAGTACAAACTAATAGCTTTCCACGGCGGAGCTATAATTAGCGAGCGAATCAGTCTGGACACGCGTATTGAATAAACAAGCACCTCTTTGGGCTTCCTTCTTGTTGTCTCTTGTCGTCGCTGGAATGGATAGAAGCCGCCATAGGCGCAGATTCAAGCGTATACCTACAGTAGCTCTGCTGCATTTGTCGCCAAAGAATTGGTGGATTCGCAAACAAAGCAAAAGGTCCAATAGAGCCAGTTCCACGCCTGTTATGCAGGCAATTGCGGCGCTGCGAGCTCATATGATGCTAGACTTTGCGAGGCGTCGGAATGGGACCCGATTTTCTTAATGTAATGGCGATGCAGTAATCATTTCTTATGGCTTCTGAAGCGAGGGTCCACCGCCTTGGGACTCCACGTTGTAATCCGAGATGAGTCGAGTTGTCTAGAGAACTTGTCAAAACCAGCCATGTTGCCACGGACATGCCGCACGCAGTTGCAACTCCTGATCGAGACGCGATTCACTGCGCCTGCCAGACCCAAGGTCTAGTTCGCTGTCGGGTCAGGATTAGCTAACAGGGCTATACTAGACTTTTCATCCTTCCTTTGAGACTCTCATGAGTATGGCTCAAAGGTATACTAAATGTCCTGTCCGTGGATGGTCAGACTCACATCAGGCCCTGTCCCGGCAGGGCGGCCGATCAATGGCAGCCCCCCACCTTCCGGGATTCTCTCGCTTATTATACGGAATAGTGTGTCGTACACGCCTATACACTTACTACACGTAACCAGGGCTCTGGTGGCTTGAATAAGACGGCGCCCTGGGCGTTGCTTACCGTGCCTCAGCAACTTTAACACGACCTCCACTGATCGACCTGTGACGTTACTCCGTATTCTTTTCCACTGATTGTAGGCAGGCAGTCTGTACGTACTACCTCCTGGGGGACAGCCGAACCCCCCTAACGAATTGGGGGACCATATGGAAGTTTTGTGACGTGATGTACGTCGACTGCATTTGCGCGCGGCTGAAGCGCCGCATAGTTTTTAGCGTACAGACACATGAGAGCGTTGTCAGCAGACTGGCAAGATTTGTCTCTTTTCTTCTATCAAGCCTCGCAAAAGAACCACTGGTAGATCTCCATCCCTTGTTTTCCCCCAGTGTGCCTCTTCCGTGGTTAGTGCGGGTATGTGGCTCCAGAGACCATGAAAAGACCACAGCAGCCCGCATGAGGTTTATACCTACTCTGATAATGCTCAGCTTGAAAAGAAGCTTGTGGCTGTTGTGACTTGTACCGCATCTAGTATTTTCCTTGCTGATCATGTGCAAGCAGTACACACCGTGTTCATACAAGAAAAGGGTGCTTTGCCCAGGCAATCAACGAATGAATTTTGAGCTGGAGAAACCCTCCAACAAATAGCCAAAGAAATCTTAAACTTCTGCCTTGTAGGCATAGTTGCCCAGTCTAGGCATTCGTTTAGTGCGGCGCATATTTCGAAGCTAATCATTTTGATATGAGGTCCTTGTCCTGTGTTGATCCTACGGCCTTCACAAGCTTCTATGAGTATGAGGCCAGTGTCTCCCTTCTTTTTCGTGTTTATTTTTGGCACTTGGTATTCATTTCAGACCATCTCACGTGGCTCGGTTTATTCTCGTGTCAATGCGTCCCTGCTTTGGGCATCGTCTTTCGATCCATGTGCCTATCCGTGGTTTGCTCAGCCCTAACAGCCTAGGAGGTACGGTCTTGTCAGTCAGTGACTGTGAGTAATTCCTGATTAGTCCTCCCCGCGCTGGGACTCGAGATCATATTGGTCAGACTTGCCCTGGACCTTACCGGCAGCGCCTCATCAAGACTATTGATTTTGGCTGCAGTCTCTGGAATCCACAAACATACGGGAACTGCCCAAGCGAACTCGAGCATTGCATCTGCTGGTCTGTACTGTGTATGTAAAATTCTTGTCACACATCTTACTGATCTTTTGGGTCAGAAACCGGGCCAACAGCTGACCATCGTATGCTTCTGTACTGCCACACCTGCTGAAGTCAGGGGTGTATGTTCTCGTGAGACTATCGGTGCAAGATATGCATGACAGACATGATGGAAGTTATCGAGACTGTTCGAGCAAACTCTTTCCCTCCGGCCTGAACAATGACCCAGAACATGGTGTAAGCTTCAGGTCCGGGATGCGGCTTTGAGTGAAGCCAATGTGCGCCCATTATGTGGCTCAGCGATCTTGTCGTTGGTATGTATAAGACAGATGCAATCCCATTTCTCACAAGTCTCATTCATCTGCCATATTGTACATTGATACGTAAAGCTTGTTGTTGTGTTTCCTCGACAATTTCTTTTCCTTTCTCGGCCATTCGGTTTTGTTTCGTTTAATATCAAGACATTCCACAAGCCTTGGGCTTCTCCTCGTTCGCTCGATTTTAGCTTTACAATGAGCTCTTTCATTTTTGTCAAGGGCTTTGTGAGCAGCCTGCTTCTAGCTGGACTTGCTTCTGCTATTCCAGTCGAGGAAAATATCCAACCACGACATGGTAACTGCAATACACCTCATGACCGTGCGTGCTGGCGGGATGGATTCAACATAGAGACGGATTATGAGTCTTCCACACCTGTTGGAACTCTCAGGCATTATGACTGGGAGGTCACCGAGGTCGAAAACTGGATAGGCCCGGACGGGGTGGAAAAGAATTATGTCCAACTGGTCAATGGCCAATACCCAGGACCAACGCTGTTTGCGGACTGGGGCGATACCATCTCTGTAACCATTACCAACAGCCTGCCTCACAATGGGTAAGTCGTCCACTAGTTGTGCGATGTCCAATCCGCTGACCCGGAGATCAAGAACCTCGTTTCACTGGCATGGAATCCGTCAATTTCATTCCAATTTGCATGACGGTGTCAACGGTGTCACAGAGTGTCCTATTCCACCCAAGGCTTCCAAAACATACACCTTCAAGGCAGAGCAGTACGGTACTTCATGGTACCACTCTCATACCTCTGCCCAGTATGCCAATGGTGTCTGGGGACCGATCCAGATTGAAGGCCCCGCCAGCTGCAATTACGACATTGACCTTGGCGTCTTTCCCATTAGCGATTATTATTATGACAACGCCGATGAACTGGTGGTTGCAACATCAGTCGGGGCTCCGCCAAAGAGTGACAACGTCCTTTTCAACGGCACCAACATCAACCCCGTAGATCCCAGCCAGGGAGAGTATGCGGTCGTGAATCTCACTCCCGGAAAAACTCACCGCCTTCGTGTCATCAATCCCTCGGCGGAGAACAACTTTCAGATCTCTCTCGTTGGCCACAACTTTACCGTCATTGCGACCGACTTTGTGCCTGTCAAGAGCGCCCCAGTCGACAACATATTCCTGGCAGTTGGCCAGCGCTATGATCTTATTATCGATGCTGACCAGGACATTGACAACTACTGGTTCAATGTCACCATGTTCCCCCTCACGAGTCTTTGTGGAACGTCATGGAACTTGAGCCCGGCCGCCATCTTCCGCTACGATGGTGCACCAGATGAGCTGCCCACTATCGAAGGCGATCTCCCAGAGGATGCCCACTGCCAAGACAGCCTCGAATTCGTCCCCGTCGTCCCCCGCAAGGCCGACGAGACCACGCTGCTTGTCGACGCTGGGAATCCAGAGCATCAGATTAATGTAAACTTGACGTTTGGCACCAGCCTGACCCACCCGACGGTCTGGAAAATCAACGAAAGCGCCATCAATGTGAACTGGGACCGGCCTGTTCTCCAGTACGTTCTCGAGAATGATACAGACTATCCCCGCACGGAAAATCTCATCTTCAATAACGATGAGGATACCTGGACATATTGGGTAGTCCAGAATCTCGGCCTGCTCCCACAGTAAGTTTTGGCATTCCATTCCCCCCCCGGAGTGATAAACGGAAAGCTAATCCGCGATAGCCCGATGCATCTCCATGGCCATGATTTTCTGGTCGTCGGATCTGCAGCCGCCACAAATTTCACGTCAGATCTCTCTTCCACGCTGAACTATGACAACCCGACGCGACGTGATGTGACCATGTTGCCAGGAAACGGATATCTCGTGCTTGCCTTCAAGGCCGACAACCCGGGCAACTGGCTCTTTCACTGCCACATTGCGTGGCACGTCAGCGGTGGCCTCTCGTCCGACTTTATGGAACGGCGCGACGAGCAGGTTGCCCTCATCAGCGACCAAGATCTCAAGGCGTACAAGGACAATTGCGATGCCTGGAACATCTTTTCTAAAACGGCGCCGCCCAAGATCGACTCTGGTCTTCGTATCTAAGCATTGATCACGCATCTTTGCCCTTTGTTCCTTTGCTTTCCTTTTTTTAGCCGCTTTGACAAGCTGATTGATACCCTTACCTAAAGCATTTCTGCATTTATAAAACGTCAAATGGGCTGTGTGGCTGATAATGGACATGGTATTCCGAGTTACCATCATCAAATATGTATATAGAGGTTATTCTGTTATTTTTTCTGTTTCCATTGGAAATCTTCTAGATTAATGTTAAAATTTTTCTTGTTTATATATAT